GGAATTAGTCCAGTTTTCACTGTAAGATAATATTCTTGTTCAAAAGGGATTGAAATTGTATCAACTCGAGGCGGTCAGTATTATTTGTATGAAACTCCATACTGCAACACACACATCTGCACCGCAGTGGCGGAATAACAGTTTTGCCGCCCGTAGGCTAGGGTGGGGTTGGATCTTTATTTAACTTTTATCTTCTGAAATCGAGTAAGCGTCATCTGAAATCTGCCGCCCCTAGGACGCTGCCTATACGGCCTATTGACAGATCCAGGACTGCTTCACCGTAACGTAAACGCCTCGCCTCGCAATTGACAGCACAGATTGACAGTGCGCGAAAGGCGATACGGTGTTGATCCCTTTCAGAGTTGATAAGTCTGCTATGAGCTTTAAAATCAGCAAACTACCTTTTAAACATTTTCCTTTTTCTTAAAGTTAAATGAGTCATGTCACTATTTCTAATTCTAATAACTACCAAAATCTTGAATTATATTTTTGGGAAAACAATAATGTGAATTACCTTTACTCACGAATTAGTCATACTATTTCGCAATAAGAGATTCTATTAATATATTTATCATTAAACTAATCTATTCTTTAAATTGTTATCTGTCTTGATTCAAGTTCTATCGTGCAAAGTGTACGGCTAAAGAGAAGTGTAATTTCCATGTCGTTTACCTTATTGTCAATAGAAGTACTTCAAAATAGACATTGACTCATAGATTCTTGCAATTTGAAGAATACGTTTTAACGAGAGATTGGTTGCTATATATTTTATGTCTGCTATTAATGATTANTACACTTCTTCTGGAGAACGCCTCCCGGATAATACGCCGGCCATAAGTTTGAGCTGAGGCTGCGCCATCACACTGCTGGAGACAAAAGTAAGTGTCTTTTCAACTGGCTCAAGTATGATGGGTTTTGTCACTAGAAGTCGATTAAATAGTGGAAACCAGGCCTGCGTAGGCCAATAGGGAACTACTACTATTCCTTCGGCCCTGTCAGACATAATCTTTCTTATAACTTTTGTTATAACCGATACTGGAGGGAAAGCGTAAAAATTAAGATTATTCCAGCTAACCGTGAAAGCATTAATAGCATATGCTCCTGGGTCTCGATGCCATGAAATGTATCTAGGGCACTTAGTGTTTAGTCTTGTTGCAAAAAGATCAACCTCAGGCTTTCCAAATTTATAAACAATGAGATTATAAGCAGAGTCACTCAATTCCCATTCCGTGTCAGGATGTAACCGACGTGATTCCGCGTCTGCTATATCGTTATCTTTTGACCGTATATACGAAGCATATATAAAAATGTTTCTTGTTTCACAAAAGTTCCATATATCTCTTGTTAATTTATTTTATGTTAATAAGGCCAAACGCAATTTATTTTGAAATTTTGAAGACTGTACTACTAGAATTTAAGTTTAATGTTTTGTTTTGTTTATTTAAAGCCTATTTTGTCATTTTAAAATTGATTATTTTGTTTTAAGATACTGGGCAATTACTGTGCTTTGTTGTGGGCAATTAGTGTAAGTAATGGGCAATGACTGTACTTTTTGGAGGATTTTAAATTTATTTCAATATTTTCTAAGTTACGTAAGTTTTAACTAAAAACTGTTAATATTCTGTTTAACAGTTTATTGAGTTATAAGAAAAAAGTCATAAATGGTCGATAATTAAAATACTTTCTACAATTTTTCATCTCAATGTGTTTGAAATCTTTAAGTGGGCAATAGCTATACGGTTTACTCTATGTCATATTTTATTATTTTGCACGTTTAGAAAATAATATCCAAAGCATATAGCTCTAATAGGATAACTTAATTACGAGAACAAAATTATTTACAAAGCGATATCGCTAAGTATTTGTTTATTTCGTAAAAATACACATCGGTTACTTGCAATCATAAAATACATTCGTACAAAATTATTTACATGGCGTAAATAAAGTCACAAAGTAACCTTAATACACACTAGTATTTGTACATTTGAATGTTTTAAGCATTTATTGATAGCGAAAAACGAAAAGAGAGAAAAAAAAAAATAAGTAAGGTATTTGCAAACTTTCAATAAAATTACTAATTCACTATATTACGTTACTGGCTTAAAATTAAAATTGCCATTCGTATCACCTGCTGAAGTAACCGATGGAACAATAATTACAAAAGGTTAGACCTACCTTCGCTTATTGATAGCACGGGCGAGGCACATTCCATCCTCGAGTCGCTGCTATCCGAAGATATACGACGAGAACGCTTTTTGCGTTTGCGCAATTTCTTTTCGATTTTTCTCATCTTGCGCCTAATGTATTCATCACAGTCTTCGTCACTACTCCTTTTCGGCATTTTCTTTGCAAGACGGGTAGAATTTGAATTTACGTGTAGACTAGCGAAGCACTAAAACACGAATGAAGTTTGAACGAGCGACCGTTATGATGATTGCTTGGGGATACCAGTTTAGGATTTTATTTTACCTGTGTTATTTTTTTATTACTTTAAACTATTGTGTATGATTAGCGAGTAGTTGCACGAAACTACAATTATTCTTCTAATTTCGAGGAATGAAGCTCGATGTATAATTTAAGCTCACCGCCATAAATTATTTATATCAATATTTGCACAGACACTATGACAATTCAAAAATGTAAATGTATAGCTATACTTATACAATAAGGTAAACACCCACACAATTATTGATTATGGTAGAATATTTTCGTAAATGTCAAATTCCCAAAATCATACCTTAAACTATGAATCTATTAAGGATTTGCTACATTGGGTGCATTCTGCGATTTACGGTCAGATCAAAGTAAACGCAGCCCGCATCATGTTTTAAGAAAATTGACAATTGCGGGCACGAGCAAAGATCACAAAGTATCAGGTGCAGGTTACGTTCATTTCACCTGACCGCAGACCGCAGAACTCAGCGAATTGCAAACTGAATAAAAATCAACTTTAATATTTTGCCAATTAAAAAGTATTCCACGTAAATAGGAGTAAAGTCCCTAAATGCTGAGTCTGAGGTTGTCACACATTTCCCCACTTTGAGTCAAACTTTCGAATTGAATTAATTAACACAGCTATGCTCTGTCCAAATGTCCAGTTTATTCTGTGGACACAACGTTGAGAGAGTTAGTCCAGTAAATTAAGTTTGTATGTTAAACGAAATACCTACTACACTGGCAACACTACTAAAAAGTCGTTTTAAGGCGGAAATTCGCATGCTGTGTTATCATAGTTAAATAGGTTGAAAGCAACATTTATCTCTTTGTAACACCTTTTTGTAAGCCCTATTTATTACAAATAAAGAATTTGAATTTAAACACCATTTTAAATATTTTACATTTCGGTTTGAAAGCTTTCATGGGTATTATGAAGAAAGAGAATTTTATCGCCATTAAAATTGATGTATGAACTTTAGTTTGTTTGAATTTTCCATTATGACGGAAAACATACAAGAATTCCGAAATTTCATTGGTTTTCAAAATAATAATTAGAGTTATGATTTCTCTTTGATATGAGTTCTACGAACTGATTTATTGAAGTCAAATAAAATCAATTTATTTGACTTTAATAAATCTGATTTTATCATTCATGACTGAACGACTATTCATCACATATTGACTTATTAATATTTAAGCGCTGAAATTACTGTAATATGAAAATTAAATACTTTTATATACAAAACGATCACTATCTACCATTTCCCTCGCGCTGAAATTGCTGTTGTATGAAAATGAAATAGATAAAACAAAACGATAATTTTCTATCTTTTTCTCTCTCTCTCTGTCTCTCTCTTACATTGGAACAGACTACGATAGAGTCGTAAAGTGAAATGGAAGCACTGCAACGGCACTAAGTAAGTTGAAGCATCAACTTTCTATTACCGCTCACATTTAATCAAAGTCGCTATTACACGACGTAAATAAAATTCTGGTCAGCAGCTTAAATTGGATGATATACTAATTATAAAGAGGAATGGTAATTTATAATGATTTAATTTTGCACAAATTCACATGCCAGCTGCGTTGGTGAGATAAACTGCACCTCTCTTTAACTTAAGACCACATTTACTGTACAACATTATCTCTGTAAATAAATAATCTTTGAATCTTTGAAAGATTTGATTGTCTGTATGCGTAATAATAATTATGACAATCAGAAAACAAGTAGGTCTACACTACTATACTTACTTATCACTCAACGCAAAATAAACTTAGCAAAAAATAAGCATGTCCCAAAGAACATTTTCTAGAAAACATAAAAGTTTACATTTGGCCCCATTCCACTTTATGGTAAGTGACGACGGGCTGAAATGGAGCGCTCGCTCCTCAAGTGCCTATTCATTCTTGTTTTGAGGCCCAGGTTGTGTTGTCAAGATGGCGGAAAATTCTCATGTAAAAAACAACGAGACTGTATCATGATGTGGGTAGATTTTTTCAGGAGGTTGGGTAACATAATATGATCAATGCAAGGAGGATATTAAATTTAATAACACTACCTACTAAGACTTCAGATCAATTAAATAATAGTACACAATTTCGTAATGCTATTTAACTTTTATCCTAATACCTACCTAGGTATCTTAGCTATTAAAGTTTTTAAAAAAATCTACTCTTGGCCAGATCGTGTATCACTCCTCCTCTAAAAAAAACCTCGGGCTTCTTTCTTAAAAAAAAGAAAATACTGGCAGGTTATAAAAATGACAACCATAAAAAACTAAATGCGTTATTTTTTCATCACCATCGAGCCTTACCGGCCAGAGTATAGATGGCCCACGCTGAACTGTCCCGCCAAACTCAATGACAGGGGGGCGCTACCATCGTTCAACTATATGGTTTCCAACATGGCAAAAATCTGAACCAGCGATCCGGTATTGACGGTGGCGCCCCACTGTCAATGTCATCGACAGGACAGTCCAGTATTTTGGAACTATATCATTTGCTAAGAACACTTTTTCGCGCTATTTTGTTAAAATATGTTTTTTTATTTTTAATCTGTACAGTTCGAGTTTGTGGACATGCACTACGGCACCGATGGCGGCGACGAGACCAATCCGAAGCTGCTTCGGTACCACCTCGACGAGATCCGCTGTTGCAATCACACCTCCAAAGCCGGATACTTTTTCGTAAGTTTTGCTTTTTTTAATTTTCACAAAATTTTATTATGTGTGATCGCGACTTACATCACACTAGCGCAAACCGCACAAAGCCTTAATTTGAAACAAAAAAAGAACAATCGCGCGCGAATTTAATGCGTTTTTGTTTTTCAAAATCTAATTCCACAAGACTTTTTTTGTGAATTTTAAGCAGTTACTTAATTTATTTACAGTTTGGTTCAATACTTTGCTAATATATTAGTAATTTAGTAAAGTGGCACTATTAAAATTTTATTTTTAATTGAAGATAAATCAAATTAATTGCATTGTTTTTTGAGTTAAGATTTTTAGTAAGTATTCCTATGGTATTCCTTTGGAAAAATCCACCTAAGTATGTAGATAAAACACAACATTAATTCCCAACGAGCGTTATTTCTTTATTGCGCGAGGATAATGTTCTACTTTTTCTAAGAAACTTTATAAATGCAACAATTTCTTGGCAAAGGAAGACTTTATTTTCATTTTACTATTTTAAACTTAATTTCCTACACTTTCTAGAATTTTGTACTGATGTTAAGAATTAATATTTTATTTTGCCTTTTTACTGTGTTGTACTGTGAAATAAGATCTTCCGTTTTTTCCTCGTTGCAAGGGACAGTGTAGTCACCAGCATTCCAATTTAACACAAAACAGCAAACTTAAGGTAGTTTAATTTATTGATACCTTTAAAGACTACAAAATAGAATTCGTCATTTTGTGGTTGGCTGACCTCCTTCCTTAGTTTAATCAGCTTCATAGCAGCTGACCTAGGGTACCCACGACGATAAATTAAAATATCGTATCGTCTAAAATCGATGAAATGCCTCGGTAAGACGATATAATAGCGCGCATCCTAGGCTAGCAGGTCTGTTGTTGAAAAACTTATGGCGCAGTTACACTCTACGGGAAATTGACCCAGACAAAGCGCAAGCCCGCACCCAAAAGTATAGGCGACGCACGCCGAAAGTAACTGAAGTGCGTGTTTACACTATGTTTCGATCAATTTCCCGCATAGTGCAACTTCGCCAAAAGTTTTTCAACAACAGACCAGTTAGTGTGCGCCATTATATCGTCTCATCGAGACATTTCATCGAATTTAAAAGATGCGATAGGTATTTTAATTTGTCGTAGCGGGTATCCTAGGCCGGCTGGAGATTTATGAAGATGATTGAACTAAGTTACTAAGGAAATCACTACACTACACTATGTCTCGAATTTCCCGCATACTGTAACTACGCTATTAGGTTAAACTCACACGAATTTTGATCTCCCAGTGCCTCATCGGTGGAGACGCGGCATCCTACCAGCCAGTGCTGCCCTACTCCATCCCCGAAGCCAAGTTCGAGGAGCTGGTCAAGTCCGAGTCGGCGCAGGCGGCGCTCGTCCGGGCTTGCTACCGACTCAATGGGGATGGAGCGTACCATTTGGAGGGCGACGATAAGTGGTGAGTTATAGAACTTTTTTACACAAGTGCTCCAGAAGGAGAGTTACGTTCTTGACAATAACAATTTAAATACATTATGTCATTAAAAATGCCTAGATAATTTTCCATCATTTCAATAACGGTGTATAGGGTCTAAATGTTATTGTTGTTGCAATTCACGAAGGCGAGTGAGCTTTACATGTGTGGTGGATCGCTACTGTTCGTTTATCAAAAGTTTTGATTACACTATTATATCGTTTTGTGCATGTACACGTACACACACGCCTCGCCTTCGTGAGTTGCAAGCTGAATGTAAACAGTCCTATTTATAATTTTAAAAAGAACTAAAGATGCTCCAGAATCGATTAAAGACATTTTTATAGTAAGAAGCACATAAAAAGTGTTTTTTTTGGAAACCAAATCCTCGCATGTAAAGCCAAGTAGAAGCTAGGTCAGATTGGTTTTATTGCCAAATTCATTGTAAGTGCCGTTCGAGACACCTTCGTCTTAAAGATAATTCGCTTTGGGAATATTGAAACTATTTTACTAGTAATATTGAACACCAGCAATTTCAGTATAGTTTACTGAATATTGTCAACATAGTTTCACTTCATTACACAAGAGAAGGGTAGAAATAACTGGTTTTAACTTATAAGTAGGTACCTTTTCGTATTTTTTTCCTATTTCTATTTTTTATTGCTATTAAACCATAATTGGACCTACATCAAAGGCTCTTACTCTCAGCCGGCTCATTTTCCTTGGAATCCGAGTGCCCACGAACGATTTCGAGGGTTATTTCCGCAACAAGTCCTTTAATCCATCCTTTATTGTTTCGATGCTCACCTCTTTCTGGTTCGATATTTTTCGAATACTTTGATCATCCTTATTCCTTCTCATCTATTTAGGCAATAACAATTTACCGTTATTTCCTCCCGAGATCCGATTACTCAGTGGCGTCGTAAAATAAATAATTTATCAGATAGAGCTCGACTCGGCGTATCTCCTCACCTGGGGCGGAGTTATCTTTTATTGCGGGCCACAAAAGACGTGCATTCAATAAGTATCATCCGAGGGCTGAAAAATTGTAATGAAAGAAAAAGGTATTTGTATTGGAAATCGGAATTCGGAGATGTTATTAATATTGGTAAGTATCAAAGCTATTTGGATTAGGTAGGCAGATATTCAATACGTATCGGTAAATATTTCTTTTCGAAGATAAAGTATGCTATTTAAATTACAGCCTTATCGAAAAGGATAGAAGGTATTCACCACTTAGCTCACATAAACGTGTTGTGCATTTGAGCAGAACAAAATTCGCCACGATAAAATCTTTAGGACTTTTAGAAGGGTTTCGTATCGTCAAATTTTGGTGGAAACTTTTCTCGAATCTCGAATACACCTTAGTAACATTGTGTTTCTTAGTAATACATTATCAACGTAATAAAACTACAAAACAATGACAACTCTACATTGTATCAAATAACTTCTACCTTGCTAAATAAAAAGTAAAATGTTACAACCATAAAACCTACAAGGCAAGAGACATAAAAGCTGTTTGCTATTAAGTACGCAATAATGTGTGGTCGTTAAAAATAATGAAGATGTATTATTATCACCTGCCGAGAGTATATTCGTTCTCACACAAAGACATAGTAATCAAAAGATTTTTATACCGAGTTCCTACCAATAGAACGACTGTAGACTATAATTATTTATTTACTTCCACCCAATGCCGTTAGTGATGTAATAAGGGCTTTTGAAAAGCGTGATTTTTAAAAGTAAACTAGGTGTAAAGTTTTAGATACCAATCCAATATGGAAAATTTTATAAATCGACATAACAATTCACCAAGTAGGTATGGTCAATAATGCTCTAACTGAACATTCACTGTTGTCGTAATCGTACTTTAGAACAACAATACAGGATCATAATTATCCTAAATGAATCTGAGTATTGTTGTTGCTTACCGCAATACCTTGTAATTTTGTTGGCTTATTGACGCAATGTTACAACGAACTTTAGACGACCGAAATTGTAGAAATGTCGAATTGTTTCTCGAGTGCACCCCCCGGGAACCCCACGAACATTCTTATTACCTCTAATGAATAAGTAACGAATGTTTCGGCTTTCGTTCGCGCAGCTAATTTGTCGCTGTCTATAGTGATTTTCGTGGTTAACTTGTCGTTCAAGTAATTACTACCCATTACTGGCGATAAAGAGTGTACAAACGTTAACGGTTCAATTAGTTACTTGTGCCAGTTAATGAGTAATGAAGGGACGGAAAAATGGGGGTGATCGGTACACGTGACTGCGTGACGTCATCCGAATTACGTTGACTGCTTACGTAAACATTTACTTTGTGGGAACGAAACAATGTTTAACTGAGTTTTCATTATTAAGGATTTTATGGCCTGTTTACTTTTTTGGAGTGGATAATTTACCTTTTAGTCAAAGATATGAGGTTTTTAATTAAATGTAGTTGTTTTGTTTTTAGTTAAAGAGTGTTTCTGCTCTGAAAATTCAAGCTGACTTACTTCTAGGTGCTTATAGATAGATACTACAACTTTATGCTTATGTATGGAAGGCTTTTTTCGTGTTAAGGATGCCTGTTTATTGATATATTACTTATTGAACTACAGTCAAAAATATATTTTCTTGAATAACGTCTTCTTGCGTCTTCAATATTGACCCTTGAAATGCCTCGCTCGTACTGAGACGTTAAACATAATGACGTATCTTCTAATGCCCGTTTTCACATCAACAGGTACAGCAATCTTCTAGAACGTGAAGAGCAGCGGAGCCGTCTAGCAGAAGTGCAGAAAGCGTTCAACTCTCTAGCGCTTGAAGCGCTTGCCGAGGATGTTGACGTCGCTGACCTGCTGCGGAGTCCGGTTGAATTACAGTGTGAATTGGCCTTAGGTAAGGAATCGTAGCAGATGTTTTTGCCATATTTCATAACCAGACCCAAAACGAATATCGTTTGTGTAGAGCGTTAGGTATCAAGACTGTCTTTCACCTCTTTATATTTTAATGTATAAAAACTTTCTACTATTAGCCAACTTAATGCCTTACTTTCTATAGTCATAACTGTAATAAGGTTTCCGTTCTGTGTATATCAAATATGCTGTAAAAACGCCATAAGCTAATCTTATCGTAGACTAGTGCTAGATAAATGTCTCTCCTAATATTATCAGGAACAAAGAAGTTGAAAAGTTTATTTTCAACTCTTTTAATAATACTTTTGTGTTTTTGTTGTAGTCTATTTTTGTTCTGATGTAACAATTAGTCAAAGAAAGATTCAAAGCCTACTTTTATTTGTAAGGTTCAGACCCTAAAAAGTCTTAGCCTTAGTCTTCGTCTTAGCTTTAAAATAAAAAGAGCCTTCCATTTTGTTTTGCTATAAAGCTTTTACCGCTTTCTAGGTAAAAAAATAAATTGCCTCTTCAAATACCAATGAAAATTTATCATCGATAAATTGTTTTATAGCTTTAACCCACTTAGCTTCTATTAAAAATGTCAAACAACGCCCAGAGAGACGTAACGTTGTTATGTTTAAAAGCATGGAGCAGGTATCGGATGAAAATCGCCAGCAAAAATATTTTAAGTTCGGAGCAGAACGTTGGTAAAAGCATAGAATAAGAAACGCGACTATTAAAACCTTTGTTCCCGCCCTCGGCGGCGGCGGGAACGAGAGCTGCAACTCCTGTGTAGCCAGGATCTACAGCTAGACCGCCAATAAAAACCCAACCAATGAAGGTCAAGTTTGTCCCGGGGGAAAGTTAAGCATAGAATAAGAAAGGGGTCGGGAACGACGACTACTTTCATATAGGTCAAATAATCTGCGAGTTGCCATTTATTAGCTGATTCCTATCAGATAAAAGGACACCCACGCAACATGCTTGTTGAACGCAGCTGCGTTGTGTGTTTTGTTCTACGGTTGAGTAAACAGCTTAACACATCGCGTACCATCGCGTCACGCTAGCTGTTATCCTAAAGATAAAAGTCACAAAAATCTGATTGAGAACGTTGTTGCAGTCTGTTTCTAACTCACTGAATTAACTGTAATTTCTTACTAATTTTGCTAATTGGTTTAATATTATGCAAGTTAAAGCTCAGATGTTGAATATTATCTGTTTTTAAGAAAAAAAGTTTACTTGCATTTATGCTTTTGTTTTTCACCATTTCTGATGTAATTACACGCAAACAATGGCGCAGGAATATCGCTTGGTTCCTTTTTAAAATGGGAAAATGAATTATCTTCACGCTCATGTAATTCAGGTCACTTTTAACGTTGCATATCCCAAAGCGCTTTAGGGATTTTAAAAATTCTTCAACAAACATTTTTGAAATCGTTTCCGTTCCGTTTGAAATAATAATTTTTTTTGCATGTCAAATGAACATTAAATTGTTCGTATAATGTCGTACATACTTTTATCCATGTGCTATAGTGACTACATATTTAAGCCTTTCAAGTAATTAGCTCAGTTAGCTTAACTTCTGTAATCTAGTTTTTTGTAAAGACAACACATCAAGCCTACTCTTGTAATAGGGGCCATTATGCAACAAAATATTAATAAAAAAGAAAGAAAAAAGTATTTCGCGCCACTTATGTTTTAACCTTTTACAGAATTGTTAACTACTGGCAACCATCCAAAGGGCGTCATAGTGGTGTTTAGAGACATGCCGGAGCCCGAGGCAGAAGACTCTAAGATCGCAGTGCTAGCTCACAACAGGCTCAAAGAACTGAAGAAGAAGCTGGAAGATGCCTTACCTGAAAGCCATGTCATCAGGCTTGAGTGAGTTTGACACTATATTTTCTTACTATCATAGTAGAATATCAAAAAAGTATTACTATCATAGTGGAATAAGAAAAAAATGGTTAGTAATGTTAATGCTTTAGATGTCACGTCTAAAGCTTATTAATTTTGTTGATGGATAAGGGAACAAGTTCTTCACATCGTAAGAAAAGGACAAATTTTTTCGTCTTAAACATTGGGAACAAGTTTTCAGTGAGTTTGCTATTGTTAATTAAGTGAAAAAAAATTTAATGTTAAGAAGATGGAACGTGTAAAGCGTATAAAAATAACATGATGGATAAGGGAACAAGTTCTCCACATCGTAAAAATTTTGATAAATTCTTTCCTCTTAACATTGGGAAAAGGTTTTCAGTAAGTCTGCCATTGTGGTAACTCTATCACGGTAATAAATGTATTTTCTACGACAAACTAAGCTTTTAATATGTTCATAACTAAGTAAATCATAAGCCCATTCACTTAACAACTTCCCAAATCCGATGTTTCTTGTTTTCAAAGCGTTAATTGCGAAGCCGTTGATAATTTATCAAAATGACATCACGGGCGAGAAACCCCCTGAACCGTGAACCGAAAGGGGAAGCGATGACCTCGCCCGCAAAAATTAACCGTAAAATGAGATCCAACCAAATTTAATGGCTGTTTTCATAATACCAAAGATACTTTTTCATCTGAAAATGAGAGAAAATGGTAATGAGAAACGCAAACTTATTAATTATGAAAGATCGTAAAAATAAAAAATATAAGACCGTCTACGGTTTTAAGTGCTTAGCTAAGTGTTTTATTTATTCAAACGACACAACTGGCTTTGCCTGCTCGCATTTAACATAAAACTAAGGCTTTATTAATACCTACTTCAATGAAACTGGATTCTCAAATAAGCAGAACTCAACTCTCGCTCTGAATCAAGTTTCACATCTGAGGACGCCTCAAGACGAAACAACGCACACGTCGAAATAGTTTAAGCAGACAATACCTCAAACTATATTAAATTTCGTCACTGTAATTTGAACCCTAAATGAAATTCTTAAGGTCTGTGTCAGCGGAGTCGTCTCGGACAGACGCGGCATCAGACACGGAGGAGAAGCTCAGCCCTTTCAGGGAACAGGTTCAGGCTGTGGTGTGCTCGCTGGTCGATGACAGCCTTAGCACGGAGCCTGACCAGGGCAAGGGAAGGAAAAAAACTGTACAGGTAAGAATACCATCTAGTATTTATTTACCTACGCTTTATTGCAGATTCTTTGAAAGATATTTTTAATAATTTAATTACTTGAATAGTTCATTCCCAAAAAAGTGGCATATAAAGCTAAACACTGTAGCATATTTACATAATTGTAGTTTTGTAATCGTATAGCTGTTTTGCAAAAACGTATTGTATGATGTAGGCTATTGTATGTAGTACTTAGCGTAACATACTGCGATGGTTATGTCACTTGAACAATTTAAAACATTTAGTGCATTGGTAATTAAATTAAATATTTTCATTGAATTAAGCTAAATGTACGTTTAAATGTAGTCGGAAACATTTGTTATTACCACCATTGAAGTTCAAAACTACTCAGTCATTTTGTCCGTAATGAAATACCGCCTATTACGTCTAGAAAGTTTCAGCTTGTTGCCATAACTTTAAAACAACTTGAACACAGTCGATTCATTAATCAAAAGTTTTCATTCCCGTCCATCTCTTGCAGGAAGTATTTCTGGAACACATCACTCATCTTAGGATATGTATAGAACATAATCGGTTGTATAAAGTTACTGTTAAACAAATCGAGGATGCGGCGGAAAGTATACTAAGTAACGCTAAGGAAAACTACGAGAATCGGAATCGGCATCCCCCGGTCCTGATTTACGGCCCGGACGCTTCCGGGAAGAGCACATTACTAACCCATCTCTACTTCAAGTTCGAGGAAATATTTAAAAAGCCAGTGCTGAGGGTTGTGAGGTTTTCCGCGTCAACGCCACGATCGGCCTACAATTTGGAGTTGTTGCGAGTGATGTGCCAGCAGATATCTATTATTCTAAACATTCCCGAGGGGTATTTGCCGAAGGACGCGAGTTTTGATCCCTTGTACATAAACAATTGGTTCCAAAGTCTGTTGAAGCGGTGCGAGGATATGCAGAACGAGGTTCTGTTGATATTCATCGACAATGTACATAGAGTTAATCCTCTGGAATGTGATATAGTGACGGGGCTGTCGTGGCTGCCGATGTCGTTGCCTCGGAACGTTCATCTTGTGTGCACAAGCGCAGTGTCGCTGGATCAGTTGCAGCTGACGCCGGCTCAGAAGGAGAAGTTCAAAGTTCAGAACTGTTACTACTTATTGGACGCGATCGAGGAGACTCCGGCCAACAATAGCTACGGCGATTATATCGATGGTGCCTTTGATAACTTAGAAGCCGTCTTCGGCTCTAAAGCGTTTAGTAAATTAGCAAGTGAGTATCAAGCCTAATCAAAAATTCCATGAATGCGATTGACTCGCTTCAGTAAAGTTGTATGAAGCTTATTTAACTTTCTTCTTTGATAACTCGTCCCAGACTTTGTTACTTATTTGATTTAAATACTTTCATCGTAAGATTTATGAGACACGATAGAATAACCGTTTCACTTTGTACAGTCACGGAATGAAAAGGTTCGTCAGTTTTCAAATTGATTCCTTCAACGAATCGCGAACACATATTACCTTTTGAAACTATGTTACAGAATAATCTCGAGTTAGAGAAAATAACCTTTAACTGTTCGTCAGTAAAGTTCAAAATTATTGATCAAAGTTGTTTGACGATTTATCTTGCCAAGAAGATTATTATGATTGATAAACTAAAACCTTCTTGTTGGTTCAACCTGCCATTATTATTTCTATTAAATAAAAAAAACTATTGTCAATTGGTCAATGTCATCATTGCATTGCACTGATGGGATAGAAAAATAAACAAGCAAAACCTTATTCGTCAGCAAACGTCATATTTATTTAAATGTTAGCAGCACTGTTTCTTGCACTGTTATGTTGGCAGGTTTGACTCTTACAGTACCTAGTGCAAGCGAAAACCGACACTAAGGTGACGAACCTTTTCATTCTGCGACTGTACGATGGATCAATGCACAGCCTAAACCGCTGATCGTAAAGACCTGAAACTTGGACGGTGTGTTCTTGGTATGACGTAAGCGTCTGATAAGAAAGGATTTTCCAAAATTCTACCCCTAAGGAGGTAAAAAGGAGGGGCAAAGTTTGCGTCCAATCTACTTAAAATTTTGCATAAGCATTCTATAACAGAATTAATGGAAGACGTGTTTCGTATTTTAGTGAAATGCACCCCCTAACTATGTTAAAAAGGGGTAGAAAGTTATTTTAGTGGTGATTTGCTTCAAAGTTGATATTAATTAGGTACTCATTAGTGCATTTTTTTACAATCATGACGTCATGTTAACGACTACCATACTCTAGGGGCCTCCACTTAACCTCGGAGTGGGTGCCCGCTGCGTGCGCTCGCCCAACAATGCATAGTAATGCATGAAAGTCATGCGCTGTATACATAAACTCATTTTCGCGCGAGAGTTTTGGCGGAGGCCCTTGAGGTAGTGGGAGTAGTCTTGAGGAAAAGCTCCTTCTCCCACGGCCAGTGGCATGCTGGAAGCTTGGTGATTCTAGCACCCGTAGGAAAATATAAAAAAAAGTTCACACTGTGGTGATAGGCATTTATCGCCCCCACTGCTTTAAGCATGACTCAACTAAATTCCTATATTCCCTAAACAAACTTTTAAACGAAGTAAAATCGTACAAAAATATAATAATCACAGGTGATATAAATATTGATATTTCCCCAAATGGTATAAATCAACAAGGAGAGCAATACTTACATTTGTTAGCATCGCATGAACTACTCCCTACTTTCACAACACCAACTAGATCAAATTCTTGTATAGACCATTTGTTTCTCAAAACAAAACAGCCTGCGATGTCATTTATTGTCCAGACTTGCCTTACCGACCACGAAGCTGTAGCCCTTAGCCTTCAATTAAAACAAACTAAATCTAAATCTTATAAGACTATAACTAAAATTGATCATATTGGCCTTAAACAGTCCCTATCGGAAGCTGACTTAAGTCATATTTATGAAATCGAAAATGTTGAGGATGCCGCAAACTTTCTGGTGGGGACTCTTTCAGATTTATTGAAAAAAAACACAAAAACACACCGAGTAGCACATAGAAGGGTAGTGGTAAAGCCTTGGATAACTCCGGGTATTCTTAAATGTATGAGAAATCGGGATAAAATGCACAAACAACTAAAACTAACACCAAACGACGAAATTTTAAAGTTGACATACCGTAGGTATAGAAATTACTGTAATGATTTATTGAAAAAAATTAAAAAGCAGTATCAAACAGACGAACTCAAAAAGGCTGGAGGTAACAATAAAAAAATCTGGGAATTAGTAAAAAAGGCAACAAATCTACAAAAAAGTAAAGTTGAAGCTAATGACCTACTGTCGCAATGTCCAACACCACAAGCATCCGTTGACTACGTGAATGATTTTTTTGTTGGCATTGGTGCTAAACTAGCTGATAAAATCTTAAAAAATAACTATAGCTCACCAGTAATAAGCACAAAGGCCAAAAATTCATTTGTTTTATTGGAAACGGACTATGAGGAAGTTGAAAAAACCATTCTCTCACTGAAATCAAATAGTGCTATTGGCTGGGATGGTATATCGGCAGATATACTCAAGACACACAGAGATATTCTTGTTCCTCCGATCACCTACTTGTGCAATGCCTGTTTTTTGTCTGGCACTTTTCCTAACGCTTTCAAGAAAAGTATTCTCCGTCCGATTTTTAAAGGTGGCGAAAAGGACAATGTCTCAAACTATCGTCCAATCTCTATCCTTACATCCTTATCTAAGATTATAGAACGTATGATCAATAAGAGGCTTACCAACTATCTTGAGTCGAACGGACTTCTATCAGATAGACAATATGGTTTTCGTGCAGGAAAATCCACTGATGAAGCCGTTCACGAGCTCACTGATTGTATTGTTCGGGGTTTGGACGGTGGGAGAAAGTGTCTTGCTATATTTTTAGATTTAGCTAAGGCATTCGACACAGTCTCGGTTCCACTTCTGATAGAAAAGCTGGAAAGTATGGGTATCAGAAATATTCAATTAAATCTGTTTAAAAGCTACCTCACTGGAAGAAAACAGTGTGTTCGTATTGGAGACTTCACCAGTGACGAGGAAACAGTGAGTTTTGGCATCCCTCAAGGGAGTATATTGGGCCCTACCTTGTTTCTAATTTACATAAACGACTTGTGTTCGATGAAGTTAACTAATGGTAACATCCTATCTTTTGCGGACGACACATCACTGATTTTCAAGGGTGATACTTGGAGGGATACTTTTATTGCAGCGCAATCGGGTCTAAATGAAGTTCTTAAATGGCTAAAAGGCAATTTACTGACAATTAATACAGACAAAACTAAATATATAACATTCGGCATCCGCAAAGCGGCTCTTCCAGTGGATAAAAATCTGGCTCTTACAGCACATACTTGTATTGACACCTCTACATGTAACTGTAATAATCTTAAAAGTGCTACGAATATCAAATACTTAGGTGTTATCATTGACCAACATCTTAATTTTCGCTGCCACCTGGAACAGCTTTCTTCGAAAGCATACAAACTCACATATGTTTTTAAAATACTCCGCCACTTCGCCGATTTTGAGATAATTCGTTCAGTATATTATGCTCTATGTCAATCAGTGTTTGTTTATTGTATCTCTAGCTGGGGTGGCGCAGCCAAAACGGACCTAAAATCCCTAGAAGTTGCCCAAAGAGCCATTCTTAAAGTAGCGACCTTCAAACACTACCTTCATCCAACAAATGACCTATATAGGGAGTGGAGTGTACTCTCAATCCGACAGCTATTCATACTCCAAATAATATTAAAACAACACTCAAAAACATCTTATGACCCCAGGACACAACTAATTAGACGTAAAGATATTGTATGTACTCTTAAAGGGTTTAGAACAACTTTTGCCAAAAAATTCTTTTGCTTTTTGGGACCATATCTATATAACAAAATTAATCGTTTACTTAATATATATCCACTAACAAAAGTAGAATGCAAGAAACTTCTAACCGAATGGTTAATATCTAAAAATTACGAAGAAAGTGAGGCTTTTATTAAAACAATACAATAACTAACACATAACACACACCCACACACACACACACGCACACACACACACACACACACACACACACACACACACACACACACACACACACACACACACACACACACACACACACACGCACGCACATACACACACACACTTACACAAAAGATTAGAAAGAAAGATTGCTTTTAAAGTTAAAGTTTAAATTTTTGAAATAGTACTTCTTATCACTTATCATTTATTTTGCCTATTTGTGTAAATCACATGTTATCATTCCATTTTTTTATTTATATAGATATACCTTAAATAGATTAACACAACCACGCAGTATCGATTAGCCGGTGGTGGAGGCCTGGTGTGCTGTAGCACAGGGTATCCTAGTACGGACACCAGTCTCTACGAAATACTTATTTTTGTTCCTTGTTGTTATAATTACCCGTTACAAATTGTGACTTTATGTATTTTGTAAAGAGAGAAATAAATAAAGTTATTATTATTATTAAAGTTATTATTAATATAAGTAGCTAAATATCTGAGTTATTTTAATAGATCAGTAATTTTCAATCAGGTTCAGTAAGTTAAATATGAACAAGACCTAGATACTGAATCCATTTAATACCATTGGCAGCATCAGTTAGCTCAAACAAAGAGAATGGTATTCCGAAATTTTAGCCTGAGGCTCTACTTGGTTTACATATTAAGCTACTGTCTAATTTTAATTGAATATAATATATTCTACTTTTATACTCCCTTCTAAATACTGTAGGTACCTATGAAAAAAACATTTTCAAAACCACTTCAAAGAGAAAAACAAAACTTTCTGACAAAACAAAGTATGTTTTCCTTACTCAAAGTAAGTTAAATGTGCGTCATGTTTGAAAATTATGCTTAATCTTTTCATATTCGCTTGTACATTTTATAACACCTCCGGCAAAGTTGAGCAGAGTCCAGCAGAATTCGGAGCAAAAGGAATTTAAAATGCGCTGTCTGGCACACTTTGTACATATGTAACGAGAGAATAAATATTTGCGGTCGGTTTCACCTTTTCACGTATGCTTCAAAAGGAATTTTCGCGTTTTTTCTTTCAATTTGTGCCAAGTTTCTGTTCTTCCAACCAATTACGTATGTTTCGGACAGCTTTTGTTTATTTCAAAGCGTGAAATGTATGTAGATTCACTGCAATGTTAATTTTGATTATGACCTTGCACAACACAATATTAATGGTATATACCTACACAAATTACTTAGTTTTACTTCTATTCATGTACACTTTTTGAATCACTATTATTTTTCACAGGTCCAAACAGTGACGATATCGTATCTGCGCTGTATATTGGAGCACGTACGGTGCTACATACTAGACAGGGACGTGGAGCTAGTATACGGAGCTGTGAGGAAGTCAAGTGACATCCTGACCCGAGACCCTATGCAGCTCGGAGCTCAGGTAAGCTATTTGAGAAATAGAGTCGATGGCGCAACAACATAAACACTGCAGCATCCTGTGTAGCTGTAAATAAGAGTTATTTTGCAACAAACATTTTATTTTTAGTCTGATGAGCTATCGATTAGATTTTGTCTTCATCATCATCATCATCATCATCGTTTCAGCCATAGGACGTCCACTGCTAAACATAGGCCTCCCCCAATGATTTCCACAATGGCCGGTTGGTGGCGATGGCCGGATTTTGTCTTGATAGATGTTTAACAAGCTATATCCATAAGCCACTAGCGAACTGTTCTGGAGTTTCCAAGTCTCGGCAAGGGCTAACGTTAGTATGATAATGATGAACAAAATATTTAATCAATGAAGATGCTAGCCAGGAGCTTCCTCGTTGTGGAAAAAAAACACTAGGTACATGCGAACTTTAGATTCGCATTAGGATTATACATTTCCAATTGATATAAATTGCATTTAAATATTAGATACTAATATAGCGTGGCATCCCATAATAACCCGCATGCAGACAAGTAAATTGCATTAACCAACGATCCATTTTGCGTTAACATTTCAGGCTCATATGTGCTTTCTGTATTTATGTATATATGTATGTATTTTACTACCCGTTTGGCAAACGATCAAAACAAAGAAATGTGCTGAACAAAAATAGTATAAAAATTACAATAAAAACATCACAAGCAAACATTAAGCTCCATTTTATCGGTCATATTATTACTATTTTCTACGTAGGCCATCTGAAATCACCAAGACCAAGTTTTATAGGGCTATACAAAAACCGTAAATGGGTATATTTTATTACCATTTTCTTCCTTTAAGCGATTCACGGTACATTTGAACAAGAAGTTTGATATTGTTAAGAAGTATTAATTATGTTCAAAATTGCATAGAAAATCAAGAATCGTAACTTTAATTTTAACTTTGATAAACGTCAAAAATCTGTCAAACTCCATACAAAAAGCAGCGGTTATTGTTATTGTTATTGTTACTGTTGTTACTAATAAGGTGGTGCAACTCAGCCTTAGTATCCTTCTATGCTTAATTATTATATGTGTTGATCGCGATGCAATTATACCTACCCGGGCTTAATTGCGATTCAACTACTAATGAACCGATTCATCACTTGCGTATCCGAGTGTTGGTATCGGTAAAACGTCAAACGCATACGCAATCGACCTTTTGAAGCCTTTGACCACAAACTAAATGGGTACAGAAGGATTATTTAATGATTTATCTATCAACAATTCATTTAAATAAAAACGAAATACCACTCACTGATTAATCACAAAATCTCAGAAACTATAACACCTACAGGTTCCTTAAAGGGTGTAGACATCCACTAAACGGGTTTCATGAAACACCACCACTAAGGGGGTAAAACGGGTCCGCCTCACGTACGATGTCGCGGCCGGCCGCTAGTGTACTGTAATTTGCTCTATCAAAACAATGTTTCCTCATAGAGCTACTGATGAAATTTTATTTGTAAGTAGATTGATCGAATCATTTACGACTTGTAACTATTAGACGATGTAACAGGCAACATTAACATGACTAATGTAGGTACTAGATACTCGTACTGTGCCAAAATATCAAACGATCGAACCTAAACTTACTAAAGTAAAATACGTTTGGATGGTACGTCACTAACTCACGCATCGCTGGAAGAAAAGTCGAGTTGAGTGACGTGAAGCAACGGTTTATATTTTTCCTTTTCACGTTTTTATGGATTTTACCTGAGGGATACTTTATTTACTTTTTCGATTACAATAATAGACATGAGACTTTCTCGTCTTTGTGTGTAATAGTCTTAGGCTAAATTGCACCACCGTGTTTAACCGTACCTATAACAATAACCGGTGTTTTTGTACGGAGTTTGATAGATTTTTGACTTTTGTTAAAGTTAAAATAAGATGGTACAACCCAGCCTTACTGTACCTTTATTTATACTGTAGCACCTCAAAATCAATTTGCCGTAAATACCTACTTACGGCCAAGTCTATCAACAAAGCCGCATGTCAGCAAAGACCATAAAGTCCTTAACGGGTTTGCACAGGCTTTTGTTGGAGGGAACTGATAAAATTAGGGTTTATGAGGATGGTACGTACTACATAGGATATAAGGAGCAATGTTTTGAGATAATTGTGAGCGAAAAACGAGAAATAATCAAGTTACTGACGTAAGTATTAGTGGTGATTAAAAATATGCGTCATACGCTACAACACTCAATTTAAGTTCGAGTTGAGTGAAGTGGAGAAATTACGTAAAATCACCCGTATGTTTATTTGTTATATTTGCATTTTTACCCGAAGTCCGAGTTTTTTACTTTAAAAATGATAATTATAAACATTCAATCTATGAGCACAGGCTTATTCGTAACGTAAGTATCTTTGCATTATAAGTCGTCAATTTACGGCGTGAGCATGCCCTTAACTTTTATATTGAAACAAATTACTGAACTCGAGAAAGGCTCTTATGTTTAATTTCAAACTCCCCATGTATTCGAGTACTCGAGTTAAAAACAAAATTTGGTACTTTGAGAAATTTTTGAATAAGAAAGGCAATTTAACATTTATTTGCAAATTCAAAACTCTACATAACGTAACAAAAATTTAAGTAGGTAAAACATCAAATAGGAGTGTTTTTCATCGAGTAACTTTTATTTTAAACAATACAAATAAGTTTATAGAAACAAAACGAATTATGTAACCCACCATGTAACTAGTAATTAGTACTGCAGTAAATCTTGCAGTAAACTACAACAGAAGCTTTGAACTCGTTATTTAAACTCGGACTGAGAAGTCCTAGATTTCCCCTGCGACCGCTGAGCTTGAAAATAATTAGCACATCATGGCTGCACTGAAGCAGCTTCAGCTGGGTCTTATTCTAGTGGAAATACTAAAAAAAAAAGCACCAAAACTTCGTCAGATAATCTTGGTTTAGCTAATGTACTGTGAATATTGGTGAGCGAAACATTAATGAAGTAAAGCTAGTATCTTCACGCGTCTTTGCCCGCATTAAAGTTTTGTTGCAAGTTGTTACAGGGTTGTATTTTATAATATGATTTTAGTGTTGTTAGTGAGATAGAGCACGACTACCATCACGTTTGTCTGTAAAATGAAGGATCAATGCGTCTATTCTATTACCATATTCTTTATATTTTCTAAGTTCGTCTACAATATCCATAGTGATGAATATCAAACATGATTTTCCTCGATTTGACTCAAAATAAGTTATCTATTTACATTCAAAGGTTGAGGTAAGTATTTTAATTTGCATAGTTAAAATTGGATACTCTTGTAGATATATCGGACGAAAACATCCACATTTTCGTTTCTAAACTTGACACATACCCACAACACGACAGCCTTTGATAATACTATGCCTTGATAATTTTCTAATGAGACTAGAACAAGTATGTTAGCCACAAATTTATTCAATTTATTAGTAGGCCCTAAAGGTACCAGTTGTCTAGACATGACGTGGGTTCAATACAGAGTTTTGTCTAAGTTTAGTGTGTAACTATTTTTAAAACATTTATTCAACTACCTATTAGAGCAAAATTAACAATCGATAACGCTAAATATTCGAACAACTTTAGATAGGTATGGCTTATGTATAAAGTATGGTAGAGAAAACTGAGAGAGAAACCTGTCTTTTCAAAAAACACATATTTTATTTCTATGAAGATGTTTTAGACTTAGCTTATCTTAATCCCATTGGGCTTTTACTTTATGGAGATGATTGATTCCACCATACATCATCATGATAGAAACAAACAATTGTAACCTAAGAGAAACCGTAACAATGAAATGAAATCAAAATAGAGCCATAAAAGCTACCTACATCAAGCTAGACTACAAAAATTAAACTAATGTCAAACAGATTTTAAATACATTTAAGGGAGCATTTTAACATAATGAAATAAATCGTGTATTTTCTTCTTACAACAGATAATAGCATGGCTTCGACCAGCAGTCGCCAGAAGGGGAGTCCTCGCTACGCTGGTCACATCTGCGATGGCGTGGTGCGATGGCTACGACAAACCTCTTTTAGTGCCTTTGAATGGATGGTAAGTGACCTTTATTACAATGATCGTTTGGGTCAATCTTCTTTAATAGATAGAGTAGTGTTTGTGTGCAAATATATTTATGAAACGTGTCAACATTTTAAAAGCATCAGCATAGGTATATGTATAGCATTGTATACAGGTAGATATAATACGATAATAGCGTGGTTAACACCAGCAGTCGCCAGGAAGGGAATCCTCGGTACTAATCCTCGCATATAATGAAATCTGAATAATCCATGAAATCCTTAGAATAATCTCTAGATTCCGTCCGCGAACAAACAATAATTCAGAAAGCTTGACTCTAGTCCCGATTGATATTGATCTAACCTTTTTATCCCAGATGTAGGTATGTCACTAGGTATCCTAGACAGGTTGGGCAGGCCTGAATATGTTGGCATATTTAAACCCTAGTTCTACGGGTAGAGTGGGCCACTATTCTGATCAAACGCCTAACTCTACCGATTCCATGATGAAATATAGACTTGAGTTTGAATCGAATAAGAGCGCGGCTTCAAAATATCGGCCTAATTGTGTGTGAGTCATGATTTTCACTCTACGGTAAAGCAAATCACGCTGTGAATAATAAAATATATTATTATCTGTTACGAGGTGGCATCGAACTCTCAAACTAACCTCGACAATCAACGCAATCAATATATCATCAAATATTTATCCGCATCCCACGAAAATTATAAATGTACCGTTTTCCGAACCAGAAATAATAAATTACCAAACACAAACATTTACTGATCAAACAATAAGCAAATGATTTGGCAGCGAATATATATTTCTGGGCTGTACAAATCGAAGTTGGCCGTTTCGCTTTTAGTGTAAATAGAAGTGTTTAAGACAAACAATTGGTTTGGAAGCTACGGCACGAAAAGGTCTCGGTGAATAATTGGCAAAGTTTGTATAAATTCCCCTGTGGTGGAGTAATTACGAAAGCAGTCTTGACACAATCGATTTAATAGCAGTAGGCGTAGACTGGGTACAGAGATATTAATCTTTGGCATTCGCATCTCAGGATAGGATTACCTACCTCTTAATAACCTATACGATTTTGTCGTCGTCTGAAATGCAGGACAAGGACCTTCCGATCTGTAATCGCCACTCAAGAACTTTTCTGCCGCAACGGCCAATATTTCTACGAACTATAGTCTATCCAATATAGCTTGATTAGAATGACAGCTGCCATCAAAAGTAACGACATAACTTTGTAGTAGCGATCAATGAGAGCTAAATATTGGCGGACAAGAAATAATTCACGTCTGACCTACAAACAATATTTTCGACGACAGTGCTTCCAATAAAAATGTTAATTTCGTGTAAATGCAGCGTTAAATTACACCAATAAGTAGTAATTCGAAATTATAAAAACCGGCCAAGTGCGAGTCGGGCTCGCGCACAAAGGGTTCCGTAGCAGCAAATATAATAAACTTATTATGTCAATTTATACACCTGGTGAATGGAGCCTAAACTCTCCCGATATTTTGCCTTGTACTTTTATGTATGAATATTAATTTTATATATGTATTTATAAATATTCCGAGCTAAAGAGGTGGCAAAAGCAATGGCAAACAAACCACAATCAATAGTATTCGGTTGTCGCTGAACACTTGGAAACTGAATACATGACTCCGATAGATACGGAAACAAGGCTTTTACATATATTTTTTGCGATTTTCCTAGAACACCAACAAGACTATCGTACACACGCAGTATTCCATTAATGTAATAAATACAACTCCAGTGCCCCACTAATCCCACGTCACCGTCATAAATTACTTGAAGGTGCGTCTCATTTTTAGGTACAGGTTCAATCAGTTCAGGGTGTTGAAATAATTCTAGCTCACGCGGTCTAAATGATGTGCACCGAAGTAACTTTTCATGAAATGCGCGAACCACATCATCTTCGATATAGTTATTATAATTCAGAATGTAGGAAAACGTATTATCTAAAGTATCCATTGTTAGATGATATACAATAAGCTTTAGAAATTTTAAAAACCTGCTACGAAACACTAAAATTTGCACCAAAAACAAAGGAATTTATATTATTGGGGGATTTATTAGTACGTGACCGGTTTAATAGCACCTATTAAACCAGTATACCTACTTACTTATTTTTTATAATAGGTACAATTCAATATTAAAAAGTCTCAACGCCAAATTCGACTTGCGAAAGAAGTAAATGGGAACGATGAAATTCTCTTAGCGCGCACAAGTGACAACGACGTCTGCCCTCACGTGTCTGCCCGTTCGGGTCGACGCGGTTAGCTATCTTATCCCCGCTCCCGCGCGAGACCACGCCCCGCAACTCACGCGCTGCAGCGCAGCGAGCGACCGATCTTCTTGAATCGATGTAATAATAATCTATAGGATTAACGCGTTTTAAAAATATTGGTTCGATGGATATGTTTAACCTATTATTACTCAACAATCACATTTGTAATATTAAACTTTATCAAATGCACAATGTATTTAAGGTACATTACTGGATAAGGATTAATGGCGTATTGCTTGAATAAGCTAATATTTCTCGTAAAAAGTACCTACATTATAAAGATTTTATATCATCGCGGATTTTAAAAGGTGTACAATACTGTAGTATATTTTTTGATCTATCTTATAAGGTTCAGCCATCGTTTTCAGTGTAAGCACAATAACTTAACCAAAATTACAGTTAAATCAACCTATCTCAAAAACTATAAGAGATACTTTGATCAAACCAAAAATCGTTGAAAGAGTTAATTAGCATGCATCACCTCTATTTTTTTTAGAATTTTATACCCCGTAGTTATAAAAATAGAGGGGGGGGGACATACTTTTTACGACTTTGAGAGCTGATATCTCAAAAACCGTTCACTTTAAGAAAAATGTTTTTTAGAAAACTTTATATCATTTTAAAAGACCTTTCCATTGATACCCCACACGGGTATGTACATCGAAAAAAAAATTTTCATCCCTCAGTTACATGTATGGGGGGCCCCACCCCCAATTCTTTTTTTTACTATTTAGTGTCATAATTTTGTAGCGGTTCATACAACACATATTCCCATCAAATTTCATCACTGTAGTACTTATAGTTTCCGAGTAAATCGGCTGTGACAGACGGACAGACGGACAGACGGACAGACGGACAGACGGACAGACGGACAGACGGACAGACGGACATGACGAAACTATAAGGGTTCCGTTTTTGCCATTTTGGCTACGGAACCCTAAAAATCAAGCTAGAGTATTAACGACGTCTCTACAAGGTTATCTCGAGTTACAAAAATGTTAGTGTTGGGACATATCGACAAATGTCATATTAAATTAAAACTAATTGTTCAACATATTTAACAAAAAAAAATTCTAACTAATTTTTTAACATATTTAAGTCAAGTTATACGTTTTTCTAAATGTTCACTATTAAAAACCAAAAAACATTTCATTCTTAAATTAATCAAACATCGAAAATCAATCACCGGTAATTTTGTGGGTATTCATAGCACCGTTGCTCTAGAAGAGATGCCCACCGCCCTCTAGCGAGAGGAAAAAACCGCTGAAGAATACTGATGATAATGACTACGACTTAGGTTATACACCCTTGACATGAATTTTAAATTTTACTGTCTTCTAATTTAAATCATAATTGTCATTTTTATGAATAAAGATATGAAGAAAAATTGGGTGCATTTTTTTATATCATTTTTTCTAAAACTTATCGATACATCTATGTGAACCGTACGAAACATACCCAGCACTAGTCACATTCGTTTGACAGCCGTCATTCTAATCAAGCTATATTGGATAGACATAATACATCACTCATTTCTACTTATGTTTTTGACTATTATGAAGTGAACCTGCTGGATATACCCCTGCTGAAGTGTGGCGATGTGTGAGTCAGGTGCCGAACGCTTACGTTGCGATGTTAGCTCAAGTGAAATTAATCAGCTCAGGTACTTTTGCCCCTGGATATTGACTGTAATTAGAGGTATCTATTGATCTGCTTACTACATAAAACACCACCTAGTTTGTTTCTGAGGTCTAAATTAGGGGAAATACAAGAGAAGGGGGCTTAGTGCGAGTTTACATCAAACGTCTTCGCTAGCGACTGCGTAAAAATATGATATTAAATGTATGAGAAATTGTACAGAGCGTCCCTAACGAACACTTTCAGAGATTTTTTTTACGCACTCGCTAGCTTAGATGTTTAATGCAAACTCGCATTAAGCAAAGGTTTTAGTGTGATAGTTCAAATGATGTCATTGCTTAATGTTAGATGCAGGGACGTGCTTAGCTTACTAGGAGGTCCTTGGGAATTTCAGAGTCAAGCGATGGAAAACATTTTTCCGTAAATAAAAAGGAAACAGCTTCACCGATAATTAATCACAGGTTACAGATTTTTTTTGAGTGCAGATTAGATCGACTTGGTGCTGGCAATTGGTGTTGTAACAAAAATACCTTTTGAACCAGCAAATCTGCGCACTAAGAATTTTCAGGCTATGTTTTGAGTACGTGTGCAAGTGGCTTAACGGATTCGCGTTCGAAGTGTTTACATTAGGTTCCGTGTCGTTAATTCGCCGGTGGGCGCCGGACAAAACACGGAATTAGGCGCATTGATCCCTCCCACAACGTGTTTGTGTAGTCCGCGCCAATAGAAACTGACAATAAAATTTTGTTAATGTAAACAAAATCTACTCAAAGAGGAATTGAACTGTCTCAGTATATTTTATTCTTCGTTTTGGCGCATATATTAAAAACTTCTAACTGTAGCGGTGTACAAAGTATGCCGTGCCGTCCGCAACGAATAGGTCAATAAGTTCACTTTGAAATCGATAGGTTTACTCATATCATGATATGAGTAAACCTATCGTGTCGAGTGTATCTAGATACATAGGCAGCTCGATGTCTGTTAATCGGCTTTTCATTCGATGCTAAAATTGACCGTTTATAATGGCGCGGACTATTGTTTCGCCAGGAGTTGTAATTGCTCACTGTTTAGACGAATGGCGCATTAGGAAGAATTGTGTGTTGACAGCCCTTGATTAATGGTGGGTGAACTATTGAGGTTACGCTGTAGGGATGTTGTCGTAGTTTGTGTGTAAATACAGGTAATTTAGCTCTACTGATAGCTAGTCTTTGTCCATGAAAGGTATCTTTATTTGCCTAAATTGACAAAGTTTTGAAACGTGCGTGTGGTTTTGATACTGATTGTAAATAAATAAGTCATGTTTTTTCCATTCTAGTAAAGCTGCACTCAAAAATTAAAACGATGGTTTTTGAACTGTTTTGTGTTTAGTAGGTATAAAGTCTAAAATCTATTGAAGTAACATATTTTACTTAAAGATAGGTTAATGTGCAGGTATTAATCGTTCATAAACCATACGTTGCACTCATATCACCCATTTTTACTTGCAATACGATACCTTAATGTCACATAATCTATCAAACAGTGGGCTCTCTTTACCAATTTTCCATATTAAATAACTGTCACACCGCGTCATCGCCTTATCGATCCAGAATCTAATTGAACGTTTATTTTTAGGGGCGATATTAATAATATTCACGTACAAGCGATAAGCGTAAGCATCGAAAGCGTGAAATCCGGGGTCCGTGGAGTTTGTTAATTAACCACCTAATCGTCCTGTTTATCTATCCCATTAACTCCTGCGATACCGGTAAGGATGGGAAAACGTGATCGATTATGGAGAAAAAGGTTTCACATCGATTTTCTTTCTGAAAGTAATTGGCTTCCTAGAAATAATGTCGTAACACTTATACGCCTGATATTTTTTTTATCGAGAAGCGAATTTTATTAATATTGAGAATCGTATTATTTGTAAATAATGTAACGTGATGACATAATATCATCATCTGTGTCATCTGTGTGCTTACCATTAGTTTACGTTGAGTATACTGCTAAGGAGTGCGTCAAAGATCTCAATGATAATAATATAACATTTATGAAATTGTATTAAGGTTTACAAATAAAACTAAGACGTTACGTAGAACCAAAAATTGATAACAAAAATAAAATTCACTATTACCTCATTATTATCAAAAATTGGTTATTTGTATCGATATTTACGTCACCCCACATCCCTACCAAGATGAATGGCTCCGCTCCCAATGAACGAACAGGAAAAAGAGGAGATCTCTCTATCAGAGGAAATTAGATTATACCGGCCAGTTTTTACTCGGAAAATACATCTCGGAACATCATCGATTTGTGCCAGTGTTTTTCAATAAAACGATACGGCAGCGCCACGTGATTCAATAAAAAAATAATTTAACTCAAATTTAGAAGCGCCGATGATAAAAGGGCGCGGGAAAAGTTGCGATGTTTTTTTTTTAACGTTTTAAGGGTGCTGAAATTGAGTGAAAAGTAAAAAATAAACTTTGATAGGTAAATGTTTATTGCAAAACAGCCTGGGAAAAGATCAGCTAAACTAGTTAGGGCAATTTGAGTGAACTTTTGTTGGTATACATTAATCCCTATACTTCCCTACTAATATTATAAATGCGAAAGTAACTCTGTCCGTCTGTCTGTCTCGCTTTCACGCCTAAACCACTGAACCGATTTTGATAAAATTTGACATAGAGATAGTTTGGGTCCCGGGAAAGGACATACAATATTTTTTCATCCCGGTTTTTGAAACAGGGACGCGCACGATAAAGCTTTTCAGACAAAATTCCACGTGGGTGAAGCTGTGGGCGGAAAGCTATATAGTTTGTAATAAATTATAGGCAAAACATTTTATTCTGTAACATTAATTTTATTCTCAGGTTGCAACCGCCAATCGCTTCCACAGTCCGAGTGGTCTCGGTCGGGGGTTCGACTCCTGGTGCTGGCGCCAGGTTGCTACAGTTAGCTCCGTCTGGGCAGCATTTAGTACTGGCTCCGTCTTCGGGGGACCCGCAGCTATGGCATGTCATGTCAAACTCCAGGGTCCATACTTTCAAAGGTAGGTTAGATGGAATCACTAGGAATTTCACAAATGAACATAATACCTATGTACATAATATGTAATTATTCAACCTTAGGTAAACTAAAACCTATTACTTACTACTACGGATCTATGTATTTTTCGCATTATTGGAGAAAGGCTGAACCAATTTGGCTAACATATTTCTTCATTCATATTATATTCGTTGGTCCGAGAAAAGTCCTTAAGAAGATGAAGAGAAAAAAAAACCCGACACATTCAAAGTCAAAGAAAAACGGCCCTTCTTTTTCTATGGGATATGGATTTTTAGAAGGACATCTTTAATGAAACGTCAACTTCTAAACATGTCAACTACAATAGTTGACCTATTAAACTTATTATTAAAAATGTTTGTTACTAACTGCCACACCTAGGCAGATTTACCATTTTCCTTTCAATCAAAAAATAATCTAAAACAAATTCATTTTTCACAATTTTCTATCAAAATGAACACTAAACCACTTTCACAAAATACTTATACAACAAAGTATCTGGAAAAGGCTTAGAAACCTAATTAGTAATCAGTATTAATAACGATTTTCCCGAACTCCTTTTGTTTACACTAAGTACCAGACTAATAACTTCTGTGGGTCTAGACAAAGTGCACATTTTAATCGCAAACCAGTCGAAAAGTGGTCGAAAAGCCTTTTTTTGTATGGAGTTTTGACGGATTCGATTTTCGATTCGATCAAAAAGTGCACTTTGTCTAGACCCACTGGAAACCTTAATTGAATCAAAATTTATTTCTAGCAAATTATTTAAAGGAGGTTAACACAATTTAAGGTTGCTTTTAAAAGTAACAAGATATTTTTAAGTAAATACCTAGCCTGACTTGGTTTTCAATTTCAAGGAAAAGTAAGCATTTCAAAACATAATATTTTTTCTCACACAAAGTTTCATACTTGTTTAGGATATTAAAAGAGTGTAAACCATTTTGACTTTAAATGTTTTCATCATCATCAATGTCCATTAAAATAATTCAATTTATATCAACCCCACTTGTTACATTTTATATTAATAGGAGATACAGAATTGTGAAAATATCTTTGGGTCGTTTTCACACAGCCAAACTTATCGATGATGTCCACCAACCAACCATGCGTAGTCCAACGAACGTCCGTAAGAAACCGGTGACTACTTTAACTAGATCCTTCTTTTGTTCTTGACAGTAACAGTGCACGATCTTAGTTTAAAGTTAATGAACCCTTCTAAAACTAGGAGATTTTTTTTTCTAAACATAGGACATCTGACTTCACTTGGCTTAAGTTAAAACCCGTGTACTATATCAAGCTCTAGATAGAAAATAATAATATGTACTTTCATTATACATTTCGGGCAAAACCAAAGCTAGCAACATAACTGGCCAGTAGCCACGGATTAGCCGGACCTTTGTCACGCGCAACTTGGGTAAATTATTACCCGCGTCCATCACCTTACGCTTGTACGTGAGATAATATAAAATATACTATGCGTCAGGGATGTAGCTGTATTTTGTCATTAAAATTACATAAGGGCCTTTTCAGATTAGCGATTTTTCGACGCATTTTACTTTAGTAAATTGAACGCTACCGTAGTACCGTATGCGTAGTTTTTATATTTTCAGAAATATTCTTTCGCCTCAAAGAAGCTGAAAAAATAACTAGCAGACGCTTCTGAAATTTCTTAGTGGCTCTTGGAAATAATTCAATTTATTACAATCTTACGTGTTTTCTTTTCTTATTATCTACTGAAATACAATCTACTTCATGTAGGTTTTCTTCGCCCTGGAACGAGGAAAAATAATTATGTATTTTACATCCAGCTAACGGACGCGGTGTCTGTAATTTAGTCTAAAGCCAATTAAAGACTGAGTTGGACATTAATGCTTAGTACAAAACTGCTCTGAAATTATATACGAACGTTGAAATGTGTTTATTATGTTCTATGAACCCATAGAGTTCAGATTAAAGATACATTATTGTTGCTAAATACATTCTTTAGCACGATCTATTAACTATAAAAATGTCACAGTGTTTAACTTTTCCGTGCTGTTCTGCGTACATAAAATCGTCCAGAGACTTTCTCTAGTGCCAATTTATCACCAAGTTACAACAATTAAAAGCACCAGTCCAACAGAAACACAAGAATTCATTACATTAGCAGGATTAACTGGCGTTTCGGGAATAATTAAGAGAATAATTTCTCAACTTTTCACACATTAGTCCGAGGCTACTGCCCTGCGTAAATAATACCTAACTATGAAGCACTAGTCTCTAGGGTTGTGTGTAGGGATGGTGCTCTGAGATCGAGTAATCGATGTTTTGAATAAGATCTTTAAAAACGGTTCGTTTTCGTGAATGATGCACGGTCACTATTCCATCTCTATCACGAGTGAATGACTTTTTATCATCATGTCAACATAAGATGTTCACTGCTGAAAGTAAGCCTCCCCTCAAATTTTGTCTTTGCCTCCATGCCTTCTCAAATAAAATAGATCCAAATTAGAGTTTTCTGGACAAAAATATTGCCATCCCTACTCAACAGTAAGTTAGTCGCAGGGTAACGAACTAACGTAAAACATAGCTGCTAACAGTAATAAAGAAAGTTAATTTTGTAATTAACCTTTATACATCCAATCTATTACTAAAACAAGGTGGGACATGCATTTGCATAGCTAGTAATGTAATTTTAACTTGGTTATTTTTGTTCGTATCGACTATTGTCAAAATGTAATTCTATAATTTAATCCATTAAGCTTCTACCAACATATTTCCCATTTTGAAACGGACTAAATAAAATGTAAACTCGATGTCCAGTTTGCTAACGACCGTGCAATAAGTATAAAGGATGCACAGCTGTTGTCGATGAAATAGCATTTTATCGATAACTGATCGATAGTTAATATTTTAGAATATTTATTGATAAACTTTTTATTACATTTGTCTAAATAACGATTTCTCCAAAGTTTGCGAGTTTTTCCACCATGTAATAATTTTGAGCATGATTATTCATGTGGCATTATACATTGCACTATCCAATCCCAAACTAAGCAAAGCTTGTACAGTCAGCGCGACGCGTCTAAGATAAACCAAAATGATCTGATATTCAATATTTCATATAAATGTAACCAGTCAAAGTAAGCATAAGCATAAGCAGATCATTTTGGCTATCTTAGACGCTTCGATCTACCTGACGCTGACTGTACTATGGATACCAAATAAGTTTCAAGAACCTTATAATTTTTAAATTTTTGTTTTTTTTTCGTCGATATTGTCGACTGGTTATGCCGTCGCAGCCCAAGTCACAATTATCCTGATAGCCTAAACGTTTAACTATATTGGACCGTTGGACGGCCCGCAATTTGGATATCGGTTACCAATTAAAAATAATTACATGCGCAGATACCGTTCTAATTACACTTTTCATGAGACTTTTAAATAGCTTTGCAATTTTGCCAAAGAAATTGATACTTTGTTCATTAGATTAGTTACAGTTATTTGTTTATTTTGGATAATTATGCTTTAATTATTTTCACACGTGATACTTTTGTCTTTGACCTAACCTAATGTAAAATTAAGCAAAACTTTTAAATATGTTATAGTACCTACAGCCTGTGCTACAGCTTACTAACTTACAGAACTAACTTATAGAAGTTTAAAAGTACATGACACCCTACCTAAAACAGAAGTTACTAATAGTACTTATTATTATTCTGTGCTAATACGACGAAATAATATTATGATCCAACCAAAAGGAACTTATCTTTATAAAGGTTAAGGCTACACAATCATAAAATCTTGAAGGTTTACTGTTACCAACAAATATTAATATTTCACAAATATTGCCGATTTTGTAGAAATAATTAAGCATATATTTTTTCTCCCTCGCGTAAAAAAGGTTTATTAATAAAAGTCTTTCATAAAGCGCGTCAGTTTAATAAAAGGATATAAATCGAGCGAGAATAGTTAATTGTAGCATATTTCATCCGAGGGTCCTCCGCCAGCCAGTCGTTTGTTGTTTGAACAAACACCGTCCCAAACATTAGCAAATACGAGCTACGAGGGGACGTCGCCAGGTGTCCCGATTTATGCGGGACACTTAGAAAACAATCTGGGATACGCTACAATCTGTGCTCTGAAAGCCTTGGATTTCACGAGTCAGAAATTAAAGGCGCAATTAATTCTTCGGGATTTTGCAGCCAAATGATAGAATAGTACGAGTATCCTAGGCTGTATCTGGCTCTCTATAATATTATTTTGAAGTAAATGAGAAGGAGGAATAGAGAGTAATGTTACTGCTATAATGCCCGATTTGCTTGAGTAATCACGAACAATCCCTAATTTTAAGTGAACGCTTTCAAAATAAAATTCCTGATAAGTGTTACCATAGGGGTCATTTCAAAATTAGGGATTGATGGTGATAATGGGCATAAAACAATGGGATTCAATTTGGTTTCCACTTCATTATTTATAAGTAACTGTCCCGAAAGCTTTGTCATACTCCTACAACTCTAGGCAGTAATGTAGTTTAACTAATTTACACAATGTACACGCTGTTCTTTGTCTGAAAACCCACCGCTTTGGGTATATTTGCTTGACACATTTAATTAATATTCACAACATTTAACTTTATAGAATTTTCATTTATTCATTAATTTTGGATTACTTATGTTTGGCCAAAAAACGTTTCCCAAATTATCACATCGCAAACAACGTTTCGCAAATTTTCATTTAGCAAATTCTCATTTGGCAAAACAACTTATTGCAAACTTTTAATTCGCAAATGTCGCTTTTGGCATATTATTGTTTAGCAAATTTTTGTTTGGCAAAGTATGTTTTGTCAAATGTTTCATTTGGCAAAAATATTACACCATAAACTATTTTCAAAATAATTTGATTGGTGCATAGAATGGAATACAAATTAGCTTGTGGTTATTATTTTGTTTAGTGGGTAGTTAATATAAAATTTGTTCTAAATTAATTTTCTTATTTCATTCTTTTTATCGATATTTCCAAATGATTCATTAACAATAGAGGTGATTCTAGCGCATAGGGTCACTGTTCTAACCTAACCTAACCTACTATTTTCTGCAATACCTACTTTTTGCAACCATACTATTTTCTGCAATCTCTTTGTTTTACATAAAATTCTTGTGAAAACCATGATCATGTGCCTTATGCTTTGATTTGTGGGTAACGGTGGGTAAGTATGTGAAGTGTCAATTTGACCAAACAAATTATTTGGGATATAATATTTGGCANCGATTTTTGATTGTTTTCTCGTGCGGTTTTGAGTATTTAGTGTGTGAAAGTGTGATAGTGAGTGTAATAATAGTGAGTGAGTGTTAGGAAGATGCCAAACCATACGTACAGTGCTCGTGAGTACGTAAACATGGTTTACTGTTACGGGAGGGCACGTGGAAACGCATCTGAAGTCGCATCGGTGAGTAGGTACCTAGTTCTAAACTTAAAGGAATGTGTTTTTTTTAATGTAGGGAGTAAATAATCTGGTAATTTTGTGTACAAAATACTCCCGCGATTGCGGTAGGTAGTGGCGGAAAGCGCGTAGGTACGCTCCAATACACACACACACACACACACACACACACATAGGAAACAGCAAACTAATTTAAAACGAACTTTAACTTTAGTTAGTCAAACAAAAATACCTATTTACACTACCTATTTTACGTGGCTTCCTTCAGTAGACTATCAGACATGATAAGCGAGCGATCCGCGTAGCTCGATGGGTGCCGCAGTTGAAACGTATTGCAGTATTACGAGCCACAGTACAGTTGATGTCGCACGGAAAATATTCGCTAAAAATTCTACTTTAGTTTGTAATTTTTTTTTTGGTGGATAATGCGTTTATATAAGTCATAATAGATCACCTAAATAAATATGGCGAGGATTGAAATCAACACCCTGTATAAACATTTGCCAAGTAAAATTTTACCAAATGATAATTTGAACAAATGAATTAGTTGCGAAAAGTACATTTGCTAAAAGTTCATTTGGGAAATGAAACTTTGGCGATAAGTTGTTTGCGAAGTGAAATTTGGCGAAAAGTAATTTGGCCTTTTATTTAACTAGATTTGTGATCAGCACAGCCAAACTAAAAACCAATGTAAATATTTAAAGCATAAGTATAAAAACAGTTTCGTAATTTGTAAAACAACCTAGCTACGAGTATAATCAAACTGCTGACGTCAGTAGTGATGAAATAACGAATTTAAAAAACCATTTACACACAATTGGCCGAAACTACAATAGCTTCAAAGGTTATTTCGAGTAATTAAATTTATTGTTAAGTTTTCCAGGGTATTTCAGTGTTAAAAGCATTTAAAAGTTCTTAATTAACGTAGAATAATAATAATAATAATAAATAATAATAATAATAAATATATTTATTTTCTCTCCACAAACAGATTCTTAAAACTAGTCTTAAATTTAGTTTGGTACATTTGTCTGTGGGAGACTGGTGTCTAAACTAGGCAGAATCCTGCCTGTATCTTAGAGCACCAGGCCTCCAACCCAAGATACATAATTACTAAGGTTAGTAGGTACATCTTACAATTTGTGTGAATATAGTACCTATTTGTTTCACTCTCTACAGGACGTAGGTAAATCATTTTACAGTTTTATCTTGTTTGTCGACTAGGTACCATAATAGTTAAACCTTAGAATTAGGTTATTTACCAATAAATCGATTTTAGACTATGTGAGAAAAAATACAGAATAGAAAAAATATGGAATAGAGTCACTTTACATTATTTTTGGGCCCCACAAATCGTTCCCACCCACAGTTCTTTGCTAAAAACCCGTTTCTTTTCAGGTCACTCAGGGAGGATCCTCTGCATGTGCGTGACGCGGGAATCCCAGTACCTCCTCACGGGGTCTGAAGACACCAGCGTCATCGTGTGGGACTTACACACGTTAGCAGTCAAGACTAAGATTTTGTAAGTATTCCAGAAACATTTTGTATGACTCTCACCGCCATGTCTGTCTGTCTGTCCGCCCGTCTGTCCGTCCGTCCGTCTGTCCGTCCGTATGTCACAGCCATTTTTAAGGCTGTGAGCAAGAGCTATACTGTTGAAACTTGGTAAGAGAATTTGATGCAAAAATTAAAAAATAATAATAAATATTGGGGGCTCCCCATACTTAGAACTGAAACTCGAGGTTTCTAAAATACTTTTTTTCCAAACCGAATAGTTTGCGTGACAGACGCTTCCAAAGTGGAAAAAAGTTGCCCCCCCCCCCCTCTAACTTCTAAAATAAGAAAATGAAAAATCTAAAAAACATATGATGTACATTACTATAAAAACTACCAACAAAAATTGTTTTGAACGAGAGTTTTTTTTAATACCTCGTAAATCGTATACCTTTTATTATTACCGCGTAATCTTTCATACTAATAACTTAAATAAAAAATAATAATTTTAATTTCATAAATCATTGGTACGGAACCCTCGGTGCGCGAGTCCGACTCGCACTTGGCCGGTTTTTTTTTATAACCTATGACGCTCATAAATACTGCGGCTTTCTATTGATAAATAATTAATACATAATTATGTACGGAAAAGTACAAAACCTTTCTCATAATATAATACTATTATGAATGATACATGCTTGGGAGAAAAATAAAGTATGTATACGGCAAATGTACCATTCAATTAAGTAGTTGTTGGAATCGTAATGAGATATTACGTACGAGTAGATATAGAGTTAATATTGTGAAAAAGAAAATACGTTTCCAATAACAGTAGATTTAGATACCATTTCCATCCGAGCCCAATTCAAAATTAATTACGCTAGGTAGGTAATCTAAAATCAATTATGAAACAAGCTCAGATTAATTTCCATAATTATACCACATCATATCCACTGTGGGCAATGATTGTAATTGTATAATTTTATTCTGTATTCGACCTGCGACTATTATTTCAGTGGGAATATTATGCTAAACTTTATCTTATTTTGAAATTATCAAAATGCCAAACTAAAACATTGTTTTCATCTCCATTATCCGCCCTCGTTGAAATAGATTTTTGCCTATTTCATGCAAGCTTTGAGGATAATAAAAATTCCCTACGACACAGCATGCTATAGGTTGAGCATTTTTGTAATTGGATAAGTTTGAGCATCTTTGAAGATCAAGTTAACTTTTTAAACAATATTACATTACGAGTACAAAGGAACTGGCATTATTATTTTTGTTCATGAAAACCAACAGAACTAACTCAGCTCCAGCAATAGAACCTAAAACCGAATTATACTAATTCGTTTTTCGAGTTGCCTAGTTAGTTTAAATAGATTTGCCTGAATTTACGTTTACGTTGTCTTTTGTATAAAAACGCTAATGAATTATACAGTGTGAGTCACGTTAAAGTGTACATATGAAAATGGATGAAACTAGACCTATTTTTATCGACAAAAAAGTGGTCAAAAAATTTTTGAGATTTTTTTTATATTTTTTATATAATTTTTTTACTTCCAATTACTTATTGTAAAGGAAACGTAATAACTTTTAAACTAAGCAGTATATCCTGATAAAATAAAAATAGTAATAATGCTAAATAGCAGGCGATACTAAAATAAAATTATAATAAAAAAAAACTTTTTTAAAAACAAGCTTTATTCTGAAATGCAGTTGTAATAAAACGAAAAAAATAATTGTATGCAATGTTCAAATAATTTCGAAAGCTTGTATCGCGCATGGAATTTATTCTTCTTTTTTCTGTTTGCGCTACAAGCTTTCGAAATTATTTGAACATTGCATACAATTATTTTTTTCGTTTTATTACAACTGCATTTCAGAATAAAGCTTGTTTTTAAAAAAGTTTTTTTTTATTATAATTTTATTTTACACTTTTTAGTTGTATCTCAATCTGAGTCCTGGTCATCATTTAGCACCAAAGTGCTCAGGAAGACGAATCCAACGAACCCAAACTCGATGAGTTTCCGCCGTTTCGTTTAGGAGTTCCTATGGCCACCTCCCAAATCCATTATCAGGACCCTGGACATCATGTAGCACTAAAGTGCTCAAAAAGACAAATCCAACGATCCCAAATTCGATGAGATTCCGCCGTTTCGTTTAGGAGTTCCTATGGCCACCTCCTGACTCCATCATCAGACCAGCTCAATGGTACCATAACATTGCATTGTCATCGTATTTACATAAGTATGCCAAATTTCAGCTCAATCGGTTGAGGAGAACTGGTCTTAATTTCAGTTGCAAGATTTGTCCCACACATACTAACAAGTGAAGTCAATATAAAGCTTGTAAAAATACATACAATTCACAAAAAATGCCAACAAATAATAAAAAATGATACTTTTTGAAAAAAATCTACTTAAAAATTCGTGTTTTTTTGGTTATTTGATAAATTTCTCCGAAAAATGCCCCTATAATACGTGGTTTTTATTGTTTTGTATTATTCTCTATTGTATTACCTTTGTAAAACTAAAAATTGCATGTCTCTATCCCTATCACAACATTTGCTATGATCGTTTGAACTAAGCCTCTCCGGGCGCGCCATTCAACGCTTCGTTTACATTATTGCATTATTACAGTTTTTATTTTATCAAGATATACCGCTTAGTTTAAAAGTTATTACGTTTTCTTTATAATAAGTAATTGAAAGAAAAAAAATCTATAAAAAATTAAAAAAAAATCTCAAAAATTTTTTGACCTCTTTTTTGTCGATAAAAATAGGTCTAGTTTCATCTATTTTCATATGTACACTTTAACGTGACTCACACTGTATTAGATTGATGAAAGTGACAACCACCTTTTTCCTTTGAATAAAGAAGGGTTTATTTGCAGGGAACACATAGCGCCAGTGCTATGTGTAGCAGCAATCGTGAACCGATCACTGGTGATCAGCGGTGGCGAAGACTCAGCGGTCATCGTCACCTCCCTAGTGGACGGAGCATTGGTGAGAACAAAAGAAAATCTATTGTTTTATATCTGGCCAGCATTTAATTAGTGTTCCAAAAACAAAAGTAATAAAAACAAAAGACTAAAAGTACGACGTTTTAAATACAGCAAAAGCAAAATCTTTTTTTCGTTTTTACGTTTAACTAATTTATTTTAAGGCTGGGTTGCACCATCTTACTTTGACTTTAATAAATGTCAAAAATCTGTCAAACTCCATACAAAAAGTACCGGTTATTGTTAAAGCTACGGTTAAAGTATGTTGGTGCAACTCACCCTAAGTTTTTTATCGATAGTAGGTATAAAGTTACAAAAAGGCAGTTCGTGAAGTTTAACACACCAAAGCGCAATACTTCAAAGATAAATTGATATTCTCCGCTGTCGGCAAAACTATTGGAAAATACTGCATTTAATTACAAACTAAGGGCAACGGCGGGCTCGGATACCAATCGTTTGCTCTGCCGAGTCAATAAACTAAGTTTCCTCGTAAAGGAATATGAGACAGGGACAATATTTGCTGCAAAGTTTCTTTAAATTAAACTAGCTACCTACCTATTTGGTTTGAATTCCAAATATTCAGTCCAACTATTTTCATTAAGGCTCTCGTCTGGTTATACAAGTTCGGATACCTAGGTGGAAATGATACCTATTTGTGTAATGATCACAAACATTCTGGACTCAGAGTTCTTATGAAGCTGTATATTATACGAATTTACTAAAATTATAACCAAATTCGTATTATGATTTTGGGCATCATGCATCAAAAAAGTCATCTCCAGAAGATACAATTTTAATTAATTTTACTTAGGCGTTTTTATTTAAAATAGTTTGTAGAAAAATCTGAATGATAAAGTAACTTAAAATAACTTTGTTGAAAAAACGACATCAAAGATTTGCCTATCTTAATTCGGTTGCAGCAAAAAGTTTAAATGAGCTTTATTTGAACAAAAAGGCTGAGTAACTAAATTCACCCGACTAAATAACAATTGTTTTCCCAACGAAATCTCGGAGAAAGGATTGCTTTGGGTGGCTTAAACAAGGAACTGTCTCGGGGCGGAACTCGCAAACAATGTTAATTATAGATTCAGCTGCTTAAGCAGTGGAATTAATTACGTTATTTCCTAAATAGGTCACAAAGATCGATCACCACCGAGGGCCGGTTACCGCGGTAAAAGTGATTCAAGACGGGGAGATTCTGGTAACGGGATCTCAAGATGGGACGGTGTGTACGTGGAATGTGGATAACTTCACGTTGCTCAGCACGGTCACTGCAGGAGTGCCCATACATGCGATGGAAGTGACTGATGACAACGTGTTCCTCATAACGCTGCAGGGAGAGAACGAACTGCACTTGAGGACATTTATTACTGGGACCTACTTGCATGTGCTGAAAAGACATAAAGCTAAGGTAAGTTTTACACAATCATGTTTGTGTTTTTGTTTTATGATATGAGTCCGTAAAAACCGGGAAACGATGCCAATAACACAACTATAGCACTTAAGTCGCACTCTCGATGACAAAGGTATAAAAAAAACTCCAAAGTGTGGTTTTCCTTATTTATAATTGAATTATATAATCTGTCTTAAGTAAAAGACGAAAATTTGACTTCACGTCTCATCAAAACCGCTTGTGGAAGTTATAAAATGTTGTTCTTGAAAACAAACCCATTTGTTATTAATGTGGGAATTTGACAAAGTGCTTTTCTTGTACATCTTTACGTTGCGGTTTGTATTTTATATCCTTCAGTAAGTTATTTTATGAGTACTTGGAAGTTTTCTCTAGACGATTTACTTATCCCTCCTTCTTAGAAACTTTCCAAAATATCTCCAAAATAAGCGAAGAAAATCAATTTGCTACTCGTACGATTTGGAACACTTATGATCTAAGTACGTTTGGTGCTAAGATTGAGTCAAGAATTGCCACTTGCGAATGACTGTAGCATCCTCACCCTTCACCGCCGTAATAGGGGATCACCAAATTGCTTTAGCTCCCACTTACTCGTTACCAGTGAGATAAATTACCGCCGATTGCTAGTAAGTGGCCGCCGACCTCGCCTTTTCTTATTTCATTTGCTGAAGTTAGTGTTAACCGCCGCCCTTTACAAATCCATTCGTAATGCGATTTGGATAGTTTTCTTTGCACGTGATACTTACACCCTTGGTGGAGCACTTACATTTTCAAAGGTTACCCTATTCCTCTGACACTACTAGATTATAGATGGATTGAAGTTTATTTTGAAATTAAAATTATTGCATGGAATAATGATTGATTTACTTGGTTATAAAAATATTGGTGATTGATAGATATTTATAATTTTTTGTACAATATAAAGGACATAAACCATTACTTCAGCCAAAGTTGTCTTGTGATTTGATACGACAGTTTTATCGTAGTGTTACGATCAAAGTTATCGCTACGTTACCTGCCTGAGCACTAGGCGATAAAGTTATACTCATCAAACTTAGCCAGTTTCAGTTTTATGTGCACTTTGTCCAGTAACGATATGTCGTGCAATGTATCTATTTCGTTTTTAATATCTACAATGTGTACCTACTACTGATTGTACTGTACTGAAACTGAAGTAGTAAGTACCTACCTACTTACGCAGGTACATTTATACAATGTGCTGACTCTCTGGCTTCTTCTCACAGCTTTGAATGTTTCTATTAGAAGAAATGAAAGCCAAAAAACCATAATATTATTCATCGTTGTTAAGTGATGTGGTAACCAATAAAAATAAATCCTTATCCAGCAGACATTTAAATTGCATTAGGCAGAATAGAAAATGGATATTCAAATATCTCCTCGCTCTTTATTCAGAAATAACACTGATATTCAATTGGATTCCCGAGTATTTTGTTTTAATGTATTATCCAGATGCGTAATAGTGTAGAATCGAATTGATATAGCAGCTAAAGAGCTCTACCAAATGCACTTAAAGGTTATAGCTATAATATCATTATATTCCGTGCATTAGGTATCTATCAAATGGCGGTAGTTATTCAATATTGAACAATAACCTTTTGAACTTTGTGAATTTGGTTCCAGTGTTCGATTTTTTAATAACTAGCGAACCTAAAAATGGCTTGCGTTGGGCCGTCAATCAATACTGCTCCAACAACAATGCGTCATAAAAAGAGCATTGTGCCCAACGTTGACTGGCGTGAACTTTATTGTAGGCTTGTAGGTAAAGTAGGTAGGTAGTAGGTTTTATAGTACTTTAAAGCCATTTAATGCACCTTATGTCACAAATCGCTAAGGCCAGCTCTACATAGAGCGTAAATTAGAGCTTCCTTGTCTGTTTTACATAATTACTTACTGTACGCCTAGGATGCGCCCCACTGCACGATAAACTTTTATCGAGACACACAAATAATCTATTTTGCACGATAGGCCCAAACATTTGTCATCTGAAATTATCATGGCGCGCATCCTAGCCCGACTGGACAAGATTATGGGTACCTAATCGTGAATCCAACATGTTGTATTTCTAATGGTTCAGATAAAATGCTTCTGCGTGGCTCATGACTCTTCCCGGGCGGCTGTCGGTTGTGCTGACCAGCGCATCTACGTGTACAGCCTGCACAGTGGCACGCTGCTGCGCACTTTAGCAGCTGCGCATGATTTAGCAGCTCTGGCTATTGCTGACAAAGACCACTTCTTGTTGGCTGCTGGTAAGTCCTTTATCTCGAGATATTAATCCGTAATTAATTAAAACGTCACGTCCTAAGATTAGTATTTACCTTAATTCTCTTTTGTAGGCAGCAACAGGGTGACAATATATTCATTCCACACAGAAGATAATTTGACCAACTTCAGGCCAACAAAACAGTTGAAGAGGAGACAAACAAAATCCACAACAAATGTTACTCTATTACAGGTAAATAATCTTTCAACAGTCTGCATGTGTCAGTTAAAAATGTATAAAGATGAATCGGCCATTCTGAAGAAACTACCCACAAATCGAACATTTTCTCCCTACAGGCAGAACAAAGCGAGCTAATACCAATCAGCTGCTTAGAAGTGTCCCGGGATGGTCAGCTGGCCGTCAGCGGCTGCGCCCGCGGCTTGGTCCGCGTTTGGCAACTGTCTACCCACAGGCTACAAGCCACCCTTAGCGGACACATGGGCCATATAACTTGCGTGTGCTTTTCACCAAACAACCTGATAGTGCTGAGCGGGTCCGAAGACAGGACTGTGGTTGTGTGGCAGTTGGCGGACAACTCGCCGTCTTTAACGTACAAGGTTAGTAAATAACGCGTGATAATTGCAGATCTTTGTCTGTAAAGGTATAAAGGTAGAATTCAAATCTTTGAAGATCAACCGAATTATTATTATACCTACTTAAGAGTTTCTTGTAGATTTCTTGCTTCTTGATTTTAGGAAGATTCAGCTACAGTAGATTTTTCATGCATTAATATGGACCACAGCTTTGAGATTAGAATATGGCTGATAGGAAACGTCTTTTATCACGAATATCCTTTCATCAGGGCCATTCAGCAGCTCTCCAATCCTTGCTGATGATGTCGGACGGTCGCCGGGCCATGTCTGGCGACAGGGCACGCAATGTCAACGTGTGGCTGGTCGACTCTGGAATAGTCCTGCATTCAACGCAAGGGCCTAGTGCGAGCCTGGATGTTACGTTGAATATGAAGTTTGCGGTAAGTTCACGACACATCTACGTTCTCAAATAAGTTATATCCTAGCAAGATTGAACTAAAATTTAAACCCTTTTCCACCAGGTTTTATCAGACGGTGACAATTCAGTTCGCATCTGGGGATTAGCCGGTGGAGACAGTAGTGAGGAGAGGCGTGCCGTGTCGCACGCTGAACGGATAACCTGCTTCGCGCTAACGGCTGACTCGCAGCACGTGGTCACTGGTTCTATGGATATGTCGCTGAAGGTGTGGAAACTGGATGGAGGGAAGCTGTCTCAGGTAAGAGAGTGCTCTTGATAACTTCTTTAAGTCTGACTCGTAAGATATGAAGAGGCGTGCCGTGTCGCACGCTGAACGGATAACCTGCTTCGCGCTAACGGCTGACTCGCAGCACGTGGTCACTGGTTCTATGGATGTCGCTGAAGGTGTGGAAACTGGATGGAGGGAAGCTGTCTCAGGTAAGAGAGTGCTCTTGATAACTTCTTTATGACTGACTCGTAAGTTTTGGAGAGGCGTGCCGTGTCGGACGCTGAACGAATAACTGGCTTTGCGGTCACGGCTAACTCGCAGCATGTGGTCACTGGTTCTATGGATATGTCGCTGAAGGTGTGGAAACTGGATGGAGGGAAGCTGTCTCAGGTAAGAGAGTGCTCTTGATAACTTCTTTAAGTCTGACTCGTAAGATATGAAGAGGCGTGCCGTGTCGCACGCTGAACAGATAACCTGCTTCGCGCTAACGGCTGACTCGCAGCACGTGGTCACTGGTTCTATGGATATATCGCTGAAGGTGTGGAAACTGGATGGAGGGAAGCTGTCTCAGGTAAGAGAGTGCTCTTGATAACTTCTTTAAGCCTGACTCGTAAGATATGAAGAGGCGTGCCGTGTCGCACGCTGAACGGATAACCTGCTTCGCGCTAACGGCTGACTCGCAGCACGTGGTCACTGGTTCTATGGATATGTCGCTGAATGTGTGGAAACTGGATGGAGGGAAGCTGTCTCAGGTAAGAAAGAGTTCTTAATAACTTCTTTAAGCCTGACTCGTAAGATATGAAGAGGCGTGCCGTGTCGCACGCTGAACAGATAACTTGCTTCGCGCTAACAGCGGACTCGCAGCATGTGGTCACTGGCTCCGTGGATATGTCGCTGAAGGTGTGGAAACTGGATGCAGTTCAGGTAAGAGCTCTTCGTAGTTTCATGAGTGGATCGATGAATTCTTATGATTATGGTACAGGGAATGTACGTATTCATGGTGGTCAGGATCTTTGGTGGTTTCAGGATAAGGTCAGACATCATGAGAGGTACGCGTGGTTCGCATCGCACAAATCTCGTCGAAAGGGATTCGATAGTGTGTTAACTCCATTTTCTATGACCTATTTCTGAAAACACAATAGAGGGAATTAAAAAAGAAGAGGTGTGCCGTGTCGCGTGCAGAACGATAATAATTACTCAACACACAAACACATTATTCACAATTTAACTTACATACAGTTTGAAGGGAAAATAATACGATACCCAGAACATGTTTTATGAAAACACGTGTAATTAACAATTCATTAGGTTGTAATAAATTCCAATCTCATAATCCGCAATGTTTCATTAGTGGTAGGTAATATCATTTCAATTAATTACTGAGGTTACAGGTATGATTAGCCGGCTAATAATCAAAGTTCTACCTATTATTGTGTAATTAGATTCTGTGATAACATTTTGTATACCTAAATAAGCCTAAGAAAATGTTAATCAATCATTTTAATATAAAATATTGTTTTAAAGTCGCCACGAAAATCCTTACTAACATAACGTTACAACAATAAATGATTCTAGAAGTGTTTTCTGATTTGTATTTTAGAATTTTATTTATACTGTGAATAAGTACACTCTACAGTGCGAACATTCTTTAATTATTTCCTACTTCACTCAATGTAAGTAACAACTCCTCTTAACTCCAACGGCTAAGCAAGAAGCACTCGGGAATTCTTCTTAGAAAACCCTTACCACAGATAATATAATACCCCTTACCAAAAATATAAATCCTTTGATTTATGCCATGATGTCAACTGAAGCCCTCTCAAAATGGAGTGTTATGATGAAAACCTTTTCTTCGAAAACAAAACATAAATCTACTTTGTATATTATTATTGCAGAGTATACTATCAGTATACTGAAATAACTGCTAGCTATTTCTATAAGAAGGTGCCTAAAAAATTTTGTTGGAAATTCTTGCGCGCTTGTCTGTGAAATTAAATCAAGTTAAATAAATAGCTCCGTAGGGACAAGCTATCCAATTTTAAATTCCCGGTTCCGACACTTACGTTAACAATTTAATGGCGTTTATACATAGTAAATTTTGTCTTTTTTTAAGAAGTCGGAAGCGCCCTTCGTAGGCGGACTAGTATGTTGATACGTTGACACGTCATTACATTGTAATAACTTGCAGTTGAATCAAATAGTCTCTTATGCTGCGTTTACACTGCGCGAAAATTAGCCGAGTCAAGTCAAAAAAACAGAGGAGCGGGGATGAAATTAATTCATTTTTCGTAATTCTAATTTCCGCATAGTGTAAATCCAGCATTAGAAAATGTTGATTTTTAAATTGTTACTTATTTATATAAACTTTAACCACCCGTGATTATTCTCTACAGTTTTGGCATTCTCTATCAGTTTATGTTTAACCCCCATAGGTCCTAGTTGGCCACTCGGATATAGTCACTTGCGTGGCGGTGTCCATCACCAACAAGACGCAAGTGGTCTCCGGATCCTGGGACTGCAACCTGATCGTGTGGGACATCAACACTGGCTCGGACTTGCATCTGCTGTCGGGACATCTGGGAAAAGTCACTTGTGTGAAAGTGACTGGCGACGGGACTATAGCTGTTTCAGGTAAGATTGTTAATTTAGGTTTAGGGAAATCTACCTATGCTAAAATACTCGGAGACGCAAAATCGAAATAATCTTTTGGTTGTTCTAAAAGCTTTATTTCTATTTTATTTCATCAATAAAATACCTTATAACAGAAGACTAATATACAGGGTGTTACTTTGCATTCTTGCCATATTTACAGAGGTAACTATATTACTGATACTGAACACAAATCCGTTAAAAAATAATGCCCGAAAATTTTGATTTTTAATTTTGAATATTTTATTTTATCGACAATCTGTTAAACACATCACTAACTATCGTAACGCATGCACATCACTTATGTTACCGATGGCGATGGAGACTTTTTTACTTTTTATTGTATTTTTAAATATCTATTGCAATCTATTGTCTTTAAAATGTCTTTTTGACACTTTTGTAAAAAACTGAGAAATCCATCAATCACAAATCACGTTATAAATAATACAAAAATGACTGAAGTGTATTCAAACAACGAATAATTTAATCAAAATGGTGCTTGGAGTGTCTGCAAGACGTCTTAAATGAAATGCTTGATGACGTACCCTTAGCGTTACACCAAATGCTCTACTACCAGCAGGATGGTGCTCCCCCACAATAAGGACGTCAAGTGCGCGAATAATACGTTTGGTGAACAGTGGATTGGACGAGGGGGTCCAGTAGCTTGGCCACCACGATCCTCGGACCTAACACCAATGGACTATTATTTTTGGAGTGACTTGAAACGACCTGGTATGCGCAGAAGAGATAAAAAGTGTAAACGTGTTACGTGAAAGGATTGCTTCAGCGAAACTGTGAGACAAAACGTTTATGTGTTGCGAAAACTAAAGCGAAATACCTACGCTTCGCCGTGCTAGACTGTGCCTTCATCAGAACGGAGGACACTTTGAACACTTGCTTCGCAATACGTAAACTTTGTAAGTAGGAACTCATAAATAAATAATTAATTGTGAATAAGGTGATTTCATTTCATACTTAATTTATTAATTTGTAAAAATAGGGAACAATGTTATAAATTAATTAAAAGCCTAATAATTATTACGTATTTTTGACGGTCCTAAGCCCGTAAAGTAGAAACTGAGAGTAGAAAGGAAAATCTAAAATCAACTGAAGAGTATTTTAAAATAATTATTATGACTGGATAAAAAGGCTGGTACCCAGAGCCATAAAACATCACAGATTAATAAGAACTAGACCACACCCACTAGGTTTATTCCACTTGCACCTGTAGAAAGTGCGAGACAAAATTGGTTTATTCCAATTTGTACTGCAAAACCAAAATTACTAAAAACTCAGTGTACTTTCTTTATGGGAGTCTCTTGTTTATCTTAAATAACAGGTATTGGTCCCTACTTTTATCTCTGTGAATATGGCAAGAATGCAAAGTAACACGGTGTATAACATGACAAGTGGCTATTTCTTTTAACAATATGTTAATTTCATTATCATCATCATCATCATCATCATCATTACCATTTCAGCGATAGAACGTCCACTGCTGAACATATGCCTACCCCAATGACTTCCAGAGAACGAATCAGAAATGAGGAGATCTGTAATTGAGCTAAAGTTAATACTAATAAGCGCAATATTTTGGGCTGTACAATGTAATATTTAATTAACGTTATCTGATTTAAAACTGTAACTAAAAACCATCTGATAGAATAAAATCTATCAATAGCACTATCATTTTCCGCAAACAATTATGGTAAGCTTTATCATAAACAAGCTTGTTTATAGCTAGATGTTATGAATAAAGTTCAACGTTTCCTCGTTAGAATTATGCCATGGGAAAAGACAGTTGTTGTGTATGGTGTGCTGATAGATAGCATAAACGGCATAATCGCTTTACTCGTATAAAAGTGTCGTGTCATGACGTTAATCGATACTTCTCAGAAGCAAACCTATATCAAATTATATTACTTTGTTGGAGTAACACAAAAGTAATATTGTGATATTTTCTGGAATCCACACGATTTTTATGAAAACCAATTTTCTCTCTTTTTAACTACGGTGGAATTTTTCGAACATTTAAAACTACTTAGTAACCGACTGAAACACTATTCTTGGCCGAAATTGAAACCATTAAAGTGCCTTTCAAAAGGTTTGACTAATGTTTTAAAGGTAACAATTAAGTACCTATTAATTTTGAAAGCACTATAAGCTATTGTATGGTGTTTAAAATATTACCCGCCGCTATTATAGTGTCAATGAAGCCATTAAAACAATAAAACCATTTATAAGAATTGTTTCCGATTGAATTAATTTTCATGTCATGAAAAACACAAAGTAAAGACCTAGTATTAGGTATACAGGGTGTTTGGTAGAAGGTTAGACAAACTTCGTGGGTGTATATGTAAATTGTAAGGTCATTTTAAGAATACAAAATTCGCCCATTTGACTGTAACTACTATAAGTGAGCTACTTCTTTTTTCATTGTTTTTTTTTTCTTTTAAGTCTGAAATTTGACTAAAAAACTGTTTTACCCAAATGTTTTGTTACTCGTATTTGAGTAACAATACAATTGAGTAAAGAAGTTGTAGTTATATTGTAATAAAAAAATGATCACATCTCCCGAAAAGTGTGTGCTTCAGCCAAAATGAATAACCCGATATTATTCGTATCAGGTGCTGAAGACAAGACTCTCATAATTTGGGAGACGAAACGGGGACTGGCTCTGACGTCGCTGGCGTTGCACGTCCCCTTGCTGGGTTTCCAAATTACCAGCGACTGCTCGCGGATCGTCGTACATTTACTGGACAGAGGTACGTGACGTAAATAACGTGGGGCAAAATTATATTTTGTGACGTCTGAAAAGTAGTAAGCATGTTTGTGAGGGAACGTATGTAATGTTTTGTGGTAAACATTTTGTCGATTTTTTGTTGACACCTAAAATCTTTACACTTACTTTTTTTAATCCACAACAAGGAAATTCTTGGCCTGCCTAATGAAAAGTGATAATTTTACTTTTACGCCCGTATCCACAAACGATGCTAGCTTATGTGAAGCAGCTCAAGCAGCAAATGAAACGCACAGCGTTGAAAGAGCTCTGTGATTGATTCGTGTGTCACCCTGTGCGTCCACGCGTACTGTGAGACCTCAAAGTAATGTTTGTGAATACGGGCGTTAGTCTTTTTATATTATTTTCTTTGTTTTTTTTCATTGATCATTTTAAAGAAATGCAGAGGAATGTAGTTCAGTATAAAACTTGTGTACTTGAAAATGTAATTTTTGAAGTATAAAATTGTTAATATTCTAGTAACACTCGAACTTAAACCAACCAAAAGCCTTATCGCGAATAGATTGAAGCTAACAACACGCAATATAACTACGTAATACGAACTAATAGAACCCAATGGTCATGAATGAAGGCATAGACTCAGTTAATGGTTTTCAACAGGTTGCCTCCCCATTATTTGCTTACACAATACGCCGGCCACATACGTCAAGATACCGACTTACGCCGCCCCGACTAAAGACGTGGATGGTAAGTACAAATTGTGGTGCAAACTAACGCAACTGTATTTAATTAGTGCATTACTATCGACAAAATATACGATAATGTTATTTTGACGACATTTTAATTAATCCAGAAGCTTTAAAGAGCTTTAACCATAATTGAACGCACTGGACCATTCATGTAAGGCTTAAACGTGTTATGAAAGCCACCAGTTTATTAATAAATGATGTTTATATGCCATAAATGTCCATGCCATTTTGTTCCATTTCTTAAATTAACATAATGAAAATGAACTAATATACCTATGTACTTGCTTTTTAGTCACGTGATTGAATGGTATACCCCAGTCCCCAACCAACATCAAATTGTTTTCCTTATTTTGTTATTTCCACACAATCTCATTATAATAATATCGTTATCAGTGAATATAACGCAGAATGCGTATAAAATATAGTTTGGAGTTGTTAACAACATTATGTAGAATCAGATAATATAAACTTTATAATTCATACTTATCGAATGTTACTCCAGTTGAATGGTTTAAAAAAAGATGTTTTGTTACAACCAGAACTTCGTCCACTGGCTCCAAAGAGGCCTATGAGGAGGCTGTTGAAGAAGGAAGTTTCTCTGGACACGTACACGTGGCAGAAGAAATACGGACACCTCACCTCCGCTGCCATGATGGCGCAGGTCGATGAACGCTTAAAACGAAGGTGACCTTTTAATTTTAAGATATTTTATAAAATTATTTAAATGGAGAATTTAGTGAAAAAATCCTTTGTGCTACATTATTTTATGTATTTTTAGGTTTTCGGTATCAGCTTCCATGGAAGAAATATCAAAAATACAAGAAGCTAAGGCTAAGGATCTTGGGTCTCAGGTATTTTTTTTATTGTTTATTACACACATTATTTTTACCTAGCCTGGATAATTTAGTACGTATTTAGTACACTTTATATTATTATAATAATATTGTTTATAATATGTAACAAAAGAGTTTTGGTGGAATGGTGTACAATTGATTATTGTATAGCGGTTTCACGGAACAGACAATACAACATCGCGCATCTTGTTAACACTTATAGTATAAGAGATGTTTTATACAAATAACATGTTACATGGAGGTAATATAATATTTTTATTTATTCATCAGGTGAGCTTAGGCCCCGAAGAAGCGGCCATCGCTCAGTCCCAGCACTTTGATCAATTAGAAGCGCTGTGGAACAAAATATCTCCTCCGAGGCGGCGCTCTAACAAGGTAAGATGCGGCTAGCGGAGCGGCAAATTGCTCGGCACACACCTCCGGCAAATACACAAACGTGGAAAAGCCATACAGACAATTTTTCACGTGAAGGATCCCGAAAGTGATTCACAAAGTACGCGTGTAAAGCTTTGATTTGATCATTTTAGTTCGCGTTTGGATTTTCAGTTTGACTTATTTTGACGAAAATGTTTGCTTTTCATTTGCTTTGAACGTTCACTGTTTGATTTTTGCGAACTTCGTTATCCTCTAACTTTTTTTTTTCATCTTGATTTTAGTGAAAAGTTGTAACTGGTGTGGAGACTCAGATAATGTCACCAGGAAAGTTGACTTTTCATTGAGTCATATGACTGCTTGAAATTAAAACACTCTTCACATGCAACTTGTTCAATATTGCTTCAATAAAAACCTTAAAAAGCTATAATGTAAAGTCCCTTACAGATTAACGATTAGAACAGGCTTCATATTTTTAATTTATTGCACTTTTTATTGTTAGTTATAAGTAGTTAGTGTAAGTAGATACAGTGTACCTGCCTACAAAATAATTTATGCTATCGCATTAGGTTATTGACCTGTAAAGATAGTTTAAGTTGGTGAAAATAAATAAATAAATAAATAAATAAATAAATTATCACTGGATTATAAACATGATGAACCGTGAATCTGATCGCTGATTATCTGGTTAAAGGGTTTAATTTAGGATTATCTGATGAAGGTTTTCCGATCACCGTGTATTTTGAGCAAACATTTTAATCTCTTTCTACTATTTTTACGCGGATCTTTTGTTACAGTCTCTATCAAAACAGAGCTCCTTGATCGAGCGTTTTGACTCTTCTGACGAGGAGCACACGCCGGTTGAAGAACAAGGTAAATTATTTAAGCATAGTGATTGCTAAAGTTTTGTAATTAGGTATTAAACGAACAAGGTTCAAGTAATAAGGTAGTAAAATGATTTTACAAAAGGCGACAAAGAATAGATAGTAATAGACAGAGTTCGTGAATATTTAAGTTGTGTTAAAACTGTTAGATAGAAGTTGAAGTATTGTAGATGCGTTAAAGGCTTAGTAGAATATAATTACAACACTATTTCGTCTTTCCACAGAACACATGGTGGAATGAAGAAATCATCGATAAAGATTTTTCGAATAATTATTAATTAAAATCAACGTTCTATTGACCTCATTAGTTTAAGTTGATTATTCTAGTTTAATGAGCGGGTCTCAATTAATTTCCACTGCTAAGCGTTTAGGTATTCGTTAATGATTAATTTTTTCAAAATAAGTTCATTTTGATAGTACATTTTCGTGTTGTGATCGATTTGCTTTAGTATTATTTTAATAATCTAAATTATTTTATTTTTGAAACAAATGTTAGTGATATAAGTGAATAGTTTCAACGACTTTTAGCGAAATTGTGCGTACGATAGAGAAGTTTGTGGTATTTATAGTTGAACTTCGAAGATTTGTAAAGATACTATGGTAAATTAATCTTAGAATTCCAGCCTCTACGCAATGTGATCTTCTAGATGTAGCTTCTATATTTTCAGGGCCAGTTTTTATTATACTAAAGCTTCTCAGCAATATACTTTAATTTTTAACGATAATAAACTGCTTTGATTAAACTTTTGTTAAAAATTAAAAATACATTAAGTAATATACAAAAGAGAAAATACATCAAAATATAAGTACTAAACACTTGTAATAAGTCTTGTGTCAAACGAAATTCATTAATACGCACTTATAAAATTAATAACTTCAATCTTATGACTTCTAATGACAATAGATTTTACCTAATAGGTATATTTAACTCCTGATCGATTTATGAAAGGTGTATCAGTGTGATTGATCTGAGATCAAACTTTATTTATGTTTTAGAACTGGTCCTAGTGTAGGAATTAGAGATGAAACGGATATCCGGTAACTATCCGGTAGGCCGGATATCCGGCCTAAATTTACTATCCGGCCGGATACCGGATAGTAACTCACTATCCGGCCGGATACCGGATATTAAAAAATTACGACAATTACCTATTAATAAAATGAAATACATTAATCTTTGAGGTAAATATCAATCCCATCAAAAACAATATTACACAACATTAACTATAATAATANCCTCCTTGTGTTCTTGATTAAAATTTGTGCTTGTTTCGTGGTGATCATTTCGTGGTTCTCTTTGTATGAAGCTAGTTTGACGGTCTGCTGTGACATTTTCATAGTCGTTTGCCAGTTGCATTAATTTGCTTATCGAGTCGACTTCTGATTTCTTGATATAAAACTTGTATTTTGTGTTCATGTTTTCGTAGATTCTATTTAGTTCTTCTTCTTTTGACATTTTTGCATATCTGCGCATGAGTGTTTGTATTTCAATCAGGTAGTCTGTGAATTTTTGGCGGTAATGTTGCCTATAATTCACAATTTTAGCTAACAGGTCACTGTCACGGCTCACAAATGTCAACTTGAAGAGTTCTATGAATTCGTTCCATGTAGTAAACGAGTTTTTATTATTTCTATACCACAGCACAGCTTTACCTTTCAGGAATCTGGGTAGCACTTTGAGCACTTTATCTGGCTTGACCTCGCCCGATGACATTAGTTCGTCCAGTTGCTCTAAAAACTCCACTGGGTCGTTGTGTGTGTCGAAACTTATGTTCCATCTTGACGTTATGCTTTCAGTCTGGTCTATAGTGTACGACATGTTTGGTTCTTGGTGCATCTCTGTGTCTTCGAAATCGGTTTCTGACTCACTGTTAGACTGTTCTTCGGAGGACTTACTGGCGGACTGGACTGGTTGATGGGACTGCTTGGTTCTGAGTACTTCTGTGAGGTTCTGTCTCAGTTCTTGTACGGTTCTGTTCTCCGTTTTTATGTTTCTTCTTTTGCACTCGTTCTCAAGTTCTGACTCTGTACCAAATTTCAGCTCTCTGAGTTTATGGGAAGTACTAGTTCTATTTTGATGATCATCAGTGAGTGAGTGCCATAAATGCGAAACTTTGCTTTCGCTTAACTTCGGAACTAAATGACCTACAGACTTGAAATTTTGGATTTTAAGTATGTGATTATAGCTTACTAGATGACGAAAATTTCTGCGTTCTGGTCTTATCCAGAGGTTCTCAAATAGGGGCCTGAAAATGCGGCGAAATGCTTCCAGTAAAGGATGGTACGGCAGTGTTTGCTTCGCGCTCGACTTGGCGGGGGCACTGCCGTGCCCCCAGATCCCATCAAAAACAATATTCGTCAAAAAAACCAAGTCTCGCAACTCAGTTGTTCTACGGTAAAAAGTTGTGAGATCCATGTAATACCAAGTCCAGGCCAGGAAATCTTTAACGTTTTACATAAATTATTGACTTGGCCATCGCACTAAATAATTTAATGTACACGTGTTTTCATGCGATGGCCAAGTCAATAATTTATGTAAAACGTTAAATATTTCCTGGCCTGGACTTGGTATTTCATGGATCTCANGGGGGTCGAAAATGGCTTGAATTACTTTGAGAAAAGGATGGTACGGCCGTGCCGCTTTTTTGCTCGACTTGGTGGGGGCACTACCGTGCCCCCAGATAAAATGGCTTATAATAATGACGGCTTTTATTTAAAGTCCAAAAGTTTAAAAAATCCATATTAAGGGCCTTTCAAAAAACTTATTTTTAGTCCTGTCTACTAATACACCCACTGATCGCGTTTAAAGCACCTGTGCGGCGCTATACTCGTCACGACATGCAACGAGACAATGGGCCAACTATCCGGCCGCCGGATATCCGGCTATCCGGCCTAGCAGCTGGCCGGATATCCGGTATCCGGTATCCGGCCAAACAACTATCCGTTTCATCTCTAGTAGGAATACATGTCGCTAAAATTCGATAGTCGTACTTATATTATAATATATTTAAAATAACCTTGAGTAAGTATATCTTAATTCCGATTATATATTTTATTTTTTTAAATTGTGTCTTCTGTATTTTTTTCAATCTATTATCTTTTGCGGGTAGTAGAAGATCAGAATAAGAAGCGTCCATCCCATATTCTCAGAAAATGTACCTACTATAATTTTATTTTTAAAGTACTTTTATCTGGCGAATCGTTGAATTGAAAAAGACAAAATACTCGTATTGAAAATGCTTTTTTTTTTTACTTTTTTTACTGATGTATCTGATGAATAGGCGAATGATGTTTTTTATTCCGATCTTAGGCAGAGATTAAAATCTGAAATTTTAATTTTATATAATTAAAATATGACTAGCTTAGACATAGTTTACATTAGGTTAATGTTTACCTAAAACTTCAATTAAATTAACATTAATTGGTGGAAATTGTGTCTTATTAACTTTGCAGCTAATTTCGTCAGATAACTTTATCGGTAGATTGAGTTTGACAATTTGACAGATGTTACAGATAATATATTTCATTTAGGGCTGATTTTTCAATCGTCAGATATCTTTCTGAAGAATAACCTTGTCATGTCGACATATTATCCATACTAGAAATACTGTCAATGTGCCAAACTTATTCTTCAGTTATCTATAAGTTAGGACGACGATTTGAAAATCCCTAAAAGACTTTAGTCTTCGGATAAGTTATCTGGCGATTGAAAGGTCTAATTAAGTCCAATGAATTTTTTTCAGTTTTATTTTGCAATTATAATATGTCTTCATAACATAACTTAAACTTACATTTTATTTACAGCCTTATTCGTATATATTTTAGACATAATCTCCCTGATCAATGTATGTCTAGTGTTTTCCAAACTGTGATCCCCTATAAAGACTTCTATGTAAGGACTCATAATAATCAATAGTATCCTTATAGTTAAGAGTAAGTGTAATGTAAGAGTTAATTTCATCTACTTTTATATGACCCTTTTTACAAGGGCTTTCGAACATTTCTTTAAAACCAAAACATGTATTTGACTAAAAGAGATAATTTAATAAAGAGTACCCAAAATAATTCTATTAAAATTTTAATGAAACGTTAATCGGCTTTATAATTTTAAAGGTTATTAGTCATGTTAAATTAGATATATTAGAAGAAACTTGCTTCATAACCAAAGAATAAACAAAAAACCCAATGCAATATCCCAAAGTAAGCTCACGAAAAAATTTAAAAGATTATAGATTGTTTTAATATGTAGAATGTTTAAATTAAATGTTGGTATTAGATGTTAAATTAGAAAACGCAATAATATTTCATAAGTAGATGCACTAACTTGTAGTTAAGTCTTTAGGCAGCTGAATTCTCGTCGTGTAAGGTTTTGACTTGTGGCACTACATCAGTATAACCAACACGCTTAGACCTTCATTTTTGAATAGTTGCAAGCAATCGAAAGACGTAAGGGAATTCGGTGTACGAATATGAGAGCGAAATTTTCAATATAATACTTCGAAAACATAAATAACAATAATAAGACTTGATTTTGTGTTATTTAAAAACTAACCATCATAATCAAAATGGTAACTTTAACTAAGGTCACAAATAACTGATATTTATATAAAAAATTTCGCCCTCAAACATAGTGTAGGCTACAGAGTAAGTTCATTATTATCGTTAGATACTGTCACCTTGTTAACTATTTGTATAGAGTTTTATAATATTTATCGTTTCTTATTCCTCACTTACGTGAGTTTTATTTTTGACCTGTCGTGGTATTATATCTGAAAATATATTCTCTGTGTTTCTTAAAGTGTGTTTTATTTCACCAGTTTCAGTAGAATTAGCTCAATAACAGTATCTAAACTTTGAAAACATAACCCTGAATTTTCTGAGGTCAAATAACATCTTTGAAGAGAAAACAATAACAATAGAGAATATAATATGAAAGTACATTATCGTAAATATTATGATCAGTTTCAAGAGCGGTACCGATAATGTTATTACCAAAATAATAGTTATCATCATTATTACACCTTCTACTGCTAATATTAAAAATACAATCTAATCGGTACAAGATAATGCTATCTGTAGTATTTAGTTGCAGATCTCTTCATATAACTGCCAAAAGATGTGTGGAAACTTAGTGTAACACTCGCCCTGCCGTGCCGCTGCAGGACAACTTACGAATAATGTTTGGACAAATTCTAAGTGTATTACGTTACAAACAAGTTTGCGACGTGACAAGCAAAGTAAATCGAAACAATGAAAATAATCTTAACGCCGATGTAATAGAGAAGAGAAAAGCAAATTAAGATGATAAAATGGAAGCATCGTCGTACTATTTCGACAGCTCGATCTATTATCCTAATGAGACATGTTTAATATACGTATCGCTTGTAGCCAGCTCCGTCGGGATAGTCCTGTCTATCTGTGCGTTTATTTTACTCATCCTGACAGCGTGCTTCTTTGCGGAATGGAGACGGAACCAGAAGAACCAACTCATCATACAGTTAATGCTTGCACGACTCATGTATACAATCATAAGATACCTCTTCGCTATAAGGAAAATTATTGACTCCACGGGAGTTGTCTACCTCGACTTGCTGGCCCTAACGTACACCGAATGTACTCTGGTGGCCTGGATGTTCGTGTTCAGCAAACACATGAACGACAGCCTAGTGAAAGTGTTCAACGTCGAAAAATATAACATGTGGGAGAGATCATTTGCAACGTGGACTATACCCGGTATACTATCTTGTTTGTTTTACATAGCGTTTTTGTTACCAGAAAATAGGGAGCGTATTGTGTTTTTCGTGTACCTGTTCGTTTTTAAATGGCCAATATTGTTTGTGAATGCATTTTTACTGATAACTGCACTGAAGGCCGTTTTGACGACAAACATAAGCAACACTGAGAACAATGTGCGTATTATTGTAGTCATGATCTGTTTGATATTCGTTTTCAGTTTTCAACAAATCATGGTGGATTTAGCGAAAATTTTACACATATTTATTCTGTACCAATATCGAGTGACCTATGTGACAGTTCTTAATACTTTAGCTATTTATCAATGCGCGTTTGCCATATGCTTTTGGGTGTTTGGTAATGCAAATACCCGGAAATTGTGGAAATTTAGAAACTCAAAATTGGGTGCGATACGTCAGAGGAGTTTGATATTTAGGATATCTGTAAAATAAGCAGTTACAGCTGTAAGGGTGAGTCGTTAATTTTTATCAGTAATGTAAAAAGGATTTAGGACGCTATTTGGATCAAATATGTAATTGCTCAATAATGAATAATAAATAAAATAAATAAATAAATAAATAAAGCATAAGTAAAAATCTTGAGATGCTGTTTTTTTTAATTCATTAAAAGAGTTTTTTTATTTTCATTTAGTTATCTGAAAGAACCACAAACCGTTCTAATTAAAATTTTAAGGAGAGAGAGTTCCTTAGTGAGTGAGTACCCTAGTCAAACAAATTCGGCTCGTCAAAAAATTTACAGATTATCACAATCTTGATTTGTCGCTCAGTGATTAATGACAGCTATTGAATCACCTCAATTACTCATGAAGTGTGATTATGAATTTTTGCCGCCCCAAAACCCCGAAAAAACTTTTATAAAAGCCTAAACGGATGTGAAATGTATTTGTAAAGAATTCTTGCCGAAAATATGAGTGATGAGGGATAGACAATATTTCAACGTCCAATGAATATGTTACTTCCATTCAAACGATCAAAGGCCTCCCATTTTTTCGATACACATTATGTACGAGTAATGCCATAAACACTCGCATTTCGTTCTACTTGAGCAACAAAATCTCAATAGAAAAATAACAAATGCCTCGCGAACAATGCCACTGTAGGCACAAGTCGACCAAAAGTTGGCGTTCAGAAATTGGCTCTACAATTTTATCCTGTAAGCCAGTGTACTTAGTATACGAGAATCTTACTAATGAAAGTTACAAATTAAAAATATTTATTGCAAGAGTAACTAAAACTTAAGAGACTGACCCCCATACTTGGCATCGCCTGTCCTGTGAAAATAAGGACAATAATTTGTATATCCTGTACATATACATAATTATTTGCATTTTATTTTCTCGATCTTCATATTTTTTAATTTGCTTTCCTGTAATGTAATGCATTTGTGCCCCCATCATCGCCATCATAAAGTTAGCAGAATGGCGCTGGACGCAGGCCGCTACCAACCGGACAACATGTAAATCATTGGGGGAGGACTATGTTCAGCAGTAGACGTCCTATGTCTGAAATGATGACTATTAATTGTTTCCCCTGCCAAAATTGTTAAGTAATCGGGATTTTTCGTTGATATTTTATATTTTTCTAAATAACTTATCAAAAATCCAAATCCAATGGGCCATGAAATAGGCTTTTCCACTTAGTTTTACTTAATTTTTTCCCATTTCAAATATCACAAACGCCTTTTTAGCACAATAATATTGCGTGTACGAGTTGGTATTCCATTGACAATTCTCTAAGCAGCAAATCTGTATATAAAATTAGGTACTTATTCAACCACGGCCCATGCCACAAGGAAAAATGGTTCAGAAACCTCTTTTAAGGTTCGACCAAACCATCGCGCACGCGGGCTCACCCGTTGATTTGGTCGAACCTTTAGTTTCTTGAATTGTTTCTGATTAAAGATTGATGTCATATTTTAAAATTCAACAAACAATGTTTTTCTTTATATTTCAAAACTTTATTACACACAATCAACAGTAAATGCAAACCTTAGACCACAGAAAAGAAGACTATCAATGATATAATCTATCATTTTATTGCAGGTAAATACACTATACAACAAGTACCGAATCTGTACCAAATCAGTACGAATCAAATTGCCCTACATGGAATACATTTAATTTTTCATGACGAATGTGAGCTTACTGAATCCTACTAAAATTCAAAGAGGGGTAACTCCTCAACCGTTTCCGTCCGAATAACCGCGTTAGCACACATCAATGGTCAAAGGCTTACCTACGTGAGCATTTTGCCGCCGAGTGTGCCGAAACGGGAATATTTACATTTGCCTTTTGCTATTGCCACCCGTTATTTATAATTCATTCTAAGAAAATACCCACGTCTTTTCACTTCAAGTGCCTATTGTTAGGCAGTTTGATACGTAGAGTTAGGTCGAATTTTGTGTGATAAATTATTACTTAATAAGTCTTGGCTTGTATTTTGAAACGACATACAATAAGGTATGAATCTACGCTCAAAAAAATTTGGCTTAAAGTAACAAAAACATTTATTGTCGTACATATTCTTTCCAGACAATCTATTGTACTAATTACTACATTATAAATACTAAGTTCTGATATTTAAACGCTCCCAACTCTCCAAAGTGCTTGTAATTAACGGCATAACTTAGGACTATAAACCAAAGAATTAATTAAACTGGTGTGCCATAATATATTTAGTTATCACGCCACGAAGAGCGTAATCTAGCTGAAATGTGCTTAGCGCCGCCCAAATTGGCTAGTAATTAGTGCTTAATCACCGACAGGAATGAGCTAGAGATTTAAGTGGATATAACTACCTCTATTGCCTATTAAACTTTGGTTTAATCCAGATTAATATTATGTATCTATTCGAAAATAACTCCCTCTTGTCTATTTTATACGCTTCATCCTCAATCAGTATTTAGGTATACATTTTCGTATAGTAATTATAGATTTTATTTATTTATTTAATTAACAACCATACCTCTAACATTACACGTTCTCCAGTGCGATAGAGTAGATTAAGTTATTGTGTTAGATTAATTTGTAGGTTTTTAATAATTAAATTTATTCCTTCATTCATTAAACCTGAGAGACTAAATAAGCTTTTATTTTGACGCAAGAAAATAATCTCGAAAGCGGTAAAATGTAGCGTTAGATTTGTATGAGGGGTTTTTCCCATAATCATGTATCTTCATAATAACTTATGTCAAGATAGTTACATAATTTAAAAGAAATAAAGTGTTATTCAGTGACGGACCAAAAACAGCGCGGGCAAAGCTGGTGACATCTTATACTTCAACATAAGGTTTTACCTATTTGTGAATTTATTTTATAGTGCACCTTTTCACCAAACTGCAAATATCCATTAGGTTTATTTAAATAAACTTTAGAGTGAAAGGGACCCATCGATCGTCCTAATTCTTGCAAATCCTGAGGATTAATCCGAACCAACATGGCGGGCTAATTGAAACCGTAAGGTAAGGTGAGCCGAATATTCAACATAAATGGTTCATAAATATAAAATAATAACGTAATAGGATTTTGTTGATGAGATTTTTGCATTTATAATGCTCTTAGCTAAACGTAACTCAAACATGATGGGAAATAGAATGTTCATGTTCAAACCGAAATAAATGTTTATTTTATTTTGAGTTAGAAAAAGCTTTCGTCACACAGTACTGTAACGTGTGGTTTATGGCCTGTGACATATTAAAGGTATTAAAAGCAGTAAAAAATACGTTTCAATACATTTGTAGGTACCTGGAGAAATATAAGAAGTTAACTCAAGCCCAAAGTTTTCTCAGTTTGTAGAAAATAGTTAGCATTTGATTCCTTAAAATT